CTTGGTGATGCTTGCATGAACTGTGATGGGGATACAGTTCATTTATGATTGGTTAATAGTTCCTAAGATGTTTAGATGCTAGCTGAACCATAAAATTTGCATCGGGATTGAGGAGTTCTGAAGAAGTTTGATAAATCCTCTTAGAGTCTATCAACAGCGTTACTAGTTTCTTGAATCTGATTAAATTACTACAGATATGGAAATAAATTGGTAGTCGGTTCCACAGTATACTGTACCATGTAGCATAGAGATTAAAAGGCAGTGACTATTTGTGTTTTAGGGTTTGCAGTGTATATGCGTGGTTTCTAATTCGGCAGGCAGGATCTTGGTTTATAATTTCATGGGAGTAACAAACGAGAGGCCATATTTTAGTTCGAGGGAAAATACTACATTTTTCTTCAATCGGTGGCACCACAGGGGTTCTAAGGAAAGATATTTGCATCCAGCTGTGTTATCGACAGTACGGTTGCACCTTGTCAGTCAAAGTGTGGAGCTTCTTTGGACGTTTTCACTGTCTGTGATGTCCACACCTAAAAATGAAAATAGGCAGTATTCCAGGGATGATCCTATGCATATTTTGAAGTGAATGAGCTTAGCTTTCTTGTTTAAGAAACCAATTAGCCATCTAGCTTTAGAGATAATCAAAGAGGCATGTTCTTTAAATTTTAAGCTTTCTGAGTAATGACTAACTAGATCGAGAGTTTTATGAAAGTCTGGATCCGACATGATCACGAAAATTCATGGTCTTCACCTATATAGTTCATGTACATGAAAAACACTAGTAGCACTAGTACACTTCCCTGGAAAACTCCACTGGTTATCGGCGATGAATGGTACTCGTTGTACTTTGCTAATTTTAGCCTTCATTTAGTAACGAAGCAAACCACGAATATATTGGGTTACCGACTCCAAGTGTCTTTATTTTGACGAGCGGCCTCTTGTGTGAGACTTTAATAAAAGCTTTCTTAAAGTCAAAGACCAATACTAAACACCCTCTGTCTTGTTGTTGAGTAATATCACTAAGATGGTCTAGTAGATATGTATCGTGTGACTCGAACCTCAGAAACCCATGTTGGGAGATTGAGATATAATTGCTATTAAGTAGTTATTGTATTATCGCTGCCTTAACTACCTTACCCATCACACTAGATACTGCTAAGGTTGTACTAATAAGTTGGTAATTTTCAACATTCACTACAGGCTCTGACCTAATTTTGGGGATGATGTGTTTAATATTCCAGGTTTTAGAGGGATTATACGATAAATACTTTGGGAAGTATAACACGGATCGTAGCTCCCAGATTTCAGCATAATAGTTGGGGCACCAGTTTTTCCTTGAATTTATAAGTGTTTCAGTGCGCTAATCGCCTTAGAAATATTATGTACGCTAATGTTTACACTGGTGATTTCACAGGAAGGTATTGGGGTCGGCTGTGATTCACTACATAGGGCACTAAAGTGTTCAGTAAATGGCTCTGTTACACGTTTAGTGTCTCTCTCGCACAGTCGAGTACCCTTATTAAATATGCTCTCTCCATTCACTTTGGAGCGTCTACGTTTATTTCGGAAGATTTCAACAAGTGCCGAAGAGTTGTTATTCAGCTCGTTTCTCATGTGTGATTGCCCTATTATTACGTATTACCATGGACTCGGAAATATTTCTGTTGTTTTAACTAAGGAACAGAAGTTAATAAGATTGTGGAGTATGGTGGCATGACTTTAATCACTTTTTTTTACATTACCTGGAACATATAAACCCTAATAAATCCTCATTCTCAAGTGCCCGCATAGTGCAATTTAATGTAAAATATTATTGTGATATGTTTTCTGGTTTGTTGGTAGTTTTTAAGATGAAGGTAGTCAAATAAATGCTTCTGAAGTAATTTTTCACGTTTGTCAAATCAATCTTATGATAGACCCTACGAGGCGAGGTGGTTTCACATACTCAATTTCCAAGACCAAGAGTAGGTTGTCTACAATCAGCGGTGAGGAATTAACAAGTAATATTCGAAGATATAACATCTTTGATCAGTATATTAAACGAACCAAGAATAGGAAAATTATGGTCAGTTATACGCAGAATAGAAACTTCAGTAGGTTTACAGGTATCACAGAGCGATAGGGATTTCATTTATCAAACATGTAGAGTTTAACGTAACTAAAGACACATGAACCATGTGAATTTATCTTACCTCACTGCGAACATTTGCCAAATATGTACTTATCTTCGAAGACTTTCATTCGGACACAAAGCCACGTGAAGAGTAACAATTAATAAGCAAGCGCGAACCCAGTGACCATGAAAAATTAATCTATCAAGACAAGTGAGAAGAGCACCAGAAATACTGGCTAAATGAGATTCAAGCTCGTTCACAACATGATTACTAATACATACTGTTCGATATTTTCTTGGTATGAACCTTCAGGTTTCTCAGAAATTATGTTTCCGTATTATTATTATTATTCATCACGGGAATCATCTGATCGCGAAGTTGAATTGCATCCAACATCATGGCTTATTTCTATTGTTCAAGTAAAAAGTTTCTCATTTCTAACTTATTCTGCAGTTTCGTTTTTTGAGACTTTGACTTCTATTTAAAGCTAGTACACTGCTCAAAACTTAGTAGCGGTTCCTTGAGAGATTCATTTGACAATGAACTCCATCTTTGCAAAAACGAGATTCCTCGGGTAGTATTCAAATCAGTAAGAACTCTGTGAACACAACCGTACTTGAGATTCGAATTAGATGAGGAATGATGTGCAACCAAACTACATATTCATTGGGGCTATTGATATGCACCACCTAATTATTTTCTTTCACGATTTCGCGAACATTAATCATATGGTACCAATAAATTTTTTTGGAGCTCAAATGGACTTTCGTAAAGAGATCATTAACCGTAAAGTATGAAATTCAAAAAGTGGGGTTTTATAAAATTATCGGACACGAAAAGTATTTAAGGAGACCGTTTCTAATACTGACACTATTTCGACTGTGGATGACCCTGTTATACTATATAAAGTCGTCTTGACATTTACCCAACAGTAAGACACGTGAAACCACAGTAAAATTCAATTATTTCTCTGAGTAAACGTAGTAATCTGATTGGCGATATATACCACTATATTCTACTTCACACCTGAATGTTCTAGTTGATACAATTTTTTATCATAAATATTCAATCTGAAATTAGAAATGGTTACAAACCCTTTGATTCAACTAGAGTGGCGCGCGTTTCAATACAAAAAGTACTGGCGGGCTTTTCTCGTTTATTTGGACATCAAACTTATATTACATTAACTCCGTGCTTTCCAATATTTACCGCCTTAGTGCCCATTTGCAAATTTTGTTATGAATGCTACGTTGCATCAAGACAAGTGGGATCAGAGCGAATATCGTGATACAAAGCTTTGTGTGTTCAAAACTTCCGGAACGAAAAGAAGCCATTTATACTTTGACGGTGATAAGACTGTGTGTAAAAAGCTGAGATTATCTACTAAAGAACAAGACTGCGTTTCAACAATCGATTCGAAGATCACTTCTCGCGATTGTGCTCATACCAATGGATACCGTAAAAGTCTAAATAACAGGTTGTCGTTAAAAAAAGAGTACGAGATAATGAATGATTCTACAAAAAACCATATAATATCCATTCACGAAACCTATCAACTTGGTTTTCTTAATATACTGGAAGACAGTAGCGAGAAAAATCTCTATACTTTTGACTTTGTGGATAGCTTAGAAGTCACGTATCCGGTGAGTATCACTTCTTCGGATGCCTTACCTATTGATCTCCCTCCACTTTTTATGGAACCCGAGTACTCAGACCAGCTCACAGCTCTTGCTAACGATGCTCTCAATCAACTTACTCAACGCATTAACAATTGGTTGGTTGCTTGTCAAGAATCTGATGAGAAGTTAACTCTCTGGCGGCACATGAACGCACACCGGGCATCCGCAGAACTTAGGTATCAAACCCTACGCCTCCTAAATATATTGGAACCTCATTTTCGACATACTGATTTTGACCCGCAATCTCCTAACGTCGATAAATTATTTTCTTACATTTTAAAAAACATGGACTTAAGTGAAGCTGTTGAAAGTACTCGGGAATTTAGTTCCCCTGGAAATAATAGTCCTGTTGTTTCTTTGTGTCCAGATCCTGAACACTGCCTCAGTAACTTACGAAATCTTGTTCTTAGTCTCCTTCAGAAACTCCTTCCACAGTTGGTACTCCCGAAGGGTTTCAATTCTAAAGATGATTTAGTTCCCCTGATTGATTCGGCCTGCGTTTGTAATTTAAGTGTGTGATATAAACATTAAGAGCTTAAAATCATATTTTCATGAAAGAGATTTAGAGTGTATATATTACTTACTATTTTTTGTGTATTTTGTGCTAGCTTGTTAATAGTTTGTGGTTCTGCCACTATGTATATAATTTTTTCACAATTATTGTAAATGCAGATTCGTTTTTTGCAGTCTGTGTTCTGCATTTTAATGTGTTTAAGAGTGACAAGCGTATAATAATAGCGTTACTAAGGCCTAATTTCTCTTTACTTTCGTCTAAGATCACTATTGCCAGAGGCAATATGTTTCTGTCGTGTTGGAAAAAGGTGAATATCGCTTACTAATATATATAGATAGAGATTGTCCCTAGACGTTTTGATAGCCTTTGAAATATAATCGGAAATCCATGCTTCTTTCGGGTGAGTTTTTCTCACGTAAAGTTATCGCTTCAATAGTGATCTACGTCAAAATCCAAAATGATAACAGAGCGGAATAGTTTATCGTGTTGACCAGTTCAGTTAACTTGAGAGTTTGTTAAGATAACTTGCGTCACCTCCAACATGTACGCAATGTCGATTTGCTAATCCCGTGATTGTACTGAGCAGCAAACCGTTCGTCTATTATTTCATTTATCAACTACGGGCTACAAAAACGAAGAACAAGTAGGCTGCAGGTGCTTTCAAAGCATTGTTCGTGTACTGCTAGACAGTCAGTTACAGTGTAGAATTTCGTGCGTACCTATATCAGTGCAAGTTGCCATACCACATTAGTACAGAGACGCAATAGTCAATTCGAACACCATAGTAGTAGAGGCAGTAGAAGTATTAGCAGACATGAAAGTGATTAATGATCGAATATTTCATTCGCGATGTATACCGCAGAGGAATCGATGATAAAAAAGAGAAAAAGTCATGAGGAATTCAGAAGATTAGCTTTTTAGAGAACATAGAGAATAGATGCACCTGCACAAGTGCACACGGTTCTGAGCCGTGTCATTCAAGGTCTCCAACCATCGGTTACTATCATCTCATGGACCCTAACTAGGTAGTCTACACCTACCAACATGACTCAGTCCACTTGTCAGTGACTTCATGAATTTGTGCCAGGTATCAGTTTGGTAACCCCTAGCTTTCTTCCAACCTATTCCTACACCACGAAACATCGCTCGTCGAAGCAGTTGGTGGTTGGGCATGCGTAACACATGTCCCAACCACCTCAACTGATGAAGTTTCAGTACTACGTCAGCTGGTCTGCCATCCTTACCTAGTACCTATTTACTAACAACAGTATTGCTTACTCGATTGTCCCTGGATATACGAGCAATGATTCGGAGACACCTGTGATCGAAAACAAGTAACCTACGAATATCTTCTACTCTCACTGGCCATGTTTCACAGCCATATAGTAGGGCGGGGCGAACTGCTGCACAGTACACTCGTCCTCTAGTTAGCAAACGGATATCTCGCCTGCGCCACAAGTGACGCAGGTTGGCAAAAGCCAATCGAGCTTTCTGCATCCGTTCTGAGATTTCGTCACACACCGGGCCATCAGCACTGATGAGACTCCTGAGATAAGTGAAGCCGTCTACACGCTCGACTACTTCATTCCCTAACACTAGTTCAGGTGCCGATGTAACCCCACCTTGAAGCAACAGTTTGCATTTCGAGGGGAAAAGTGCATCCCTAACATGCTAGCATCGTTGCTTAAGGTGGCCAGGAGAATCTTCCTTTCGTCAGCGTCTTCACCAAATAGAACTATGTTGCCGGCATATTCTAAGTTAACAAGCAAGTCTCCTGGTAGAAGGTCCACCTCCGAAAAGCTAGACATAGATAATGTTATCTCTAAAAGCAAGTCTATGGCAAAATTAAACAAGAATGGAGAAAAAGGAGGCACCTGACGGAGACCACTTGAAGTAGCCACAAGCCCTCACTCGACTAGTGGCGTTCGATTAAAGAGCTTGTTTAAGTTTAATGTAATTCTTCGGAACAACTTTCAGTGACACTCCACCATGGAATCTCACGATCAACAGAGTCAAATGCCATTTTAAGATCCAGAAAGACAACCATTATTTGACGCCCAATTATATCTGTGTTCTTGAACCTGTCTTAGTTTAAATATGTGGTCTATCCAGCCATGTCCAGGTTTGAAACCTGCATGGTTTTCTGCAGTCTGCTCTTCATGAGTTTTAGTAAGGCGTCTAAGTATTATCGAGGCTAACAATTTAGGAACTGTATTAGTTAGACTGATTCCTCTGTGATTGTCACAAGAAGACCTTTTTCCTCTCTCATAAATGGGGACAATCAGGGATCGAGACCAGTTAGATGGGATTACGTCCAGTTCACAGATTCTGTCTAAGATCTCAGTCAATCTATCTGTTAAAACTAGACCATCAACCTTAAAAATTTCAGGGGTCAATCTATCCAGGCCACTTGCTTTCCCTTGCCTCAAATTTCTTATAGCTTCCTAAACTTCATTAGAGTCGGAGTATTCGCGTCCATTTGCCATCCTCGTTGACTGGAGATCGTGGGCAACCGAAGTGTGGCTGAAGGCTAATCGAACTGATCCCTAAAGTGCTCAGCTTATCAGTCTAATCTCCTGGATTGAGAATGAATAATACGCACATGTTTTTCCGAAATAGTTTCACTAACAGTCGGATTCCTAATGTCGGTTATTTTGATGTCTGAATATTTGTCTACTGTTGCCTATCGCCGCTGCCTTCCTTATCTCTCTCGCTTCCTCTAACCACTGCCCGCGATCATTGCGTGGGCTGTTTACCAGCCTGTGCGTAAGATGACTCCGCTCCTCATCGTGCTAAGAGCCAGATAGGACGAGTTTCCTAGCACCCATCAGCACGGTAGATGCTACTGAGATCCACCGCTTCTCCCTAGGCTTATGGTTTACCTTAATTGCAGATATCACTGCTGTTTCCGCGGCTTTCTGGATAGCATTCGCACCTACCTCGGGGTGGGAATCACTGTCTAACTGTTTTTCTAGTTGCTCCTAAAATATATTCTTAGCTATGCTATCATTAAGTTGAACACCAGGAGGTTTCCTTGCGGTGACGTTCCTACGTCCAGTAAGACGAAGACAAAAACGTACCCGCATTAAAGTACGATCCGAATCTAAACATGTGCTACGAAATTAGTGAGTCTTCTACCGAGCCTCTTCATCAGTGGTTGATAGCAATGCCGTCCAGTTGAGTCAATTTTGGAGGTCACCATGTCAAAAGGTGTTTTTCTTTGTGCTTACAGTTAGTGTTTACCAGAAATAGACTACTGTCTGAGCACAGCTGCAACAGACGGTCGCCATTATCGGTTCTTTGAGCCGCGATACCATAAGGTCCACCCAGGTGTCTTTCGTTTACACTTAGTCCACATACTTGAGCGTAGGCAGAGACAACAAAGAGGCGACGGCGAGTTTCCTTTTCTTTATGAGTCCTTACTGTCCTGTTTAGTCGGACAGTGCATAGGCGACTAACTACTGGAATCCAGTATAAGACATCTAGTTCTGACCTAGGACTAAGTACTATACCTACAACAGTGAGGCCACGTGAAGCAGCAGCAGGGCTACCTTATATACAAAGAGTAAACCGAGTTGATTCTTTATCTGGACAAGGTGAAATCGAATTAGTTATTTTAGTTTGCGGGTTTAGGAGACGCAACACATATCGATGGCACGGGATTCCAGAGTCTTAGTTAATGAAGCTTGTCCTATTTGACACAAGGTTCGAGTATTAGAAGCTCCAATATTTAGTTTGGAGCGGGGCATCAGACTTGGAATAACGCTTCGTGAGCTCGAAACGTTCGCTTCAGCGGCGAGTTTACAAAGGAAAGAAAGGCTGGTTGTGGAGATAAGAAAATTATTAGGAAGTGTAAAAATGATTTGATTGTGACCGATTTGGCCTCGTGTGCTGTTAGGGGTACGAGGGCGGATGTTACTTCTCGGCTGCCCACACCGTGGAAGGGCTTCGTATATCTAGGCTATGTTGTTTGAAGCATACCATCGATATCAAATGTTTTACTTTTCAAGTTCATTAGAAACCCTATATTCTATCCACAGGGCGTAAATGATTCCAAATAATGAAGGGTCGTAAATACTGACCAAATAGATATTCTTTACATCTGGATATTCTATGGGTTAATAAATCACCAATAGTGATCTCTTATAGGAAGCTAATTTACTGTCAGGCACCTAAATGAAACCAAAATATCTTTCACATGTTCGAAGCAATTATCACACAGGACCTACTTACCAAATAGGCGATACTTCAATCAAACCTTCAACGATAGGTTAGAAGATGGGTCATTCCACACAGCGAACAACGATCAACATATGTTCCACCCACCCTTATCATATATCTACAAAATAGAATCTGATTTGATAAAGACCGCTCACCCATCTAAATGGACTAAAATTGTAATTTCCCATGAACTATCAAGGAATTGCGAGTGTTTAACAATGTGACACATTTGCCATCCATTTCTTATTGGTTAAGATACTTCCAGTGTTGATATCAACACAGGCGATGTACAAATGGTTGACGAATCCCAACATGCGACATGGATTCCACTGCAAGCAACTTCAGGTTAGTAGTAAGCACCAGTAATCACGCTTGTCACAATTATTGGAGAGAAGCTATAGGTAACACATACCGTACTATGCAGAGAACCAGATGTGGTCTATAATCTGTATCAACCGAAAATTGACCAGAATATCAACTCTTACTCCCGGGCAAATCCAATTATTTGAGGCCGAATATTGCCTCAAACACCTTGAAAAAATAACGTTCCAAATAATAACGGCTATTGTAATAGGACATTTCTGATCAAGCTTTTCCTTCATTATTACAGATAGTCATCAGCAAAATTTAATTGAAATTCGCGACAAAAAAATGAGACCCTTTTTCGGCTCAAAGTGACTTCCGTACTGAACTATCGCACTTACCTCCAGACTTTTGATCGAAAACTTATAAACCACTGTGTAATAAGTTCTTTCCTGCTTTCTATACCCTATATAAAAGTTATGAAATATCGGATCTTAACATAGAATGAAACAGCTAACCATATGTTTATTTGATGAATGTACACAAAATTATTGAGTTCATTGATTCCCTAATAACTAACTGTTTAGTGTTTTCAAGCCATGAATACCTGTGATATCTACACTTGTTTATCTACAAAATAACGCATCTCATGAATTAGTGTTGTCTAGAGATTGATAGGAAAAACCTTATTAAATCCAAAACGAAATCCTATGTCTTAACAAATATCGTCTTCTCAATTGAATGTGTAGACGATTAAAAACTGCAACAGGTTTACACAAACCTATTCACTGGAACTTTGTAACTTCAGACGTCCCGAGGCCCATCATTAGTTTGGATCTGACAGCACATCACAATCTACTTGTTTACCCAAGTAAACGAAGGTAAATGGGTGGAAAAAAACAAAACTGAATCATAAGATAAAACTCATTCTTATTGTTTATTATGAATCTTTTCTTTTTAAATCAGGACGATTCACGTAAATTACACTTTTGGGGAGAAAGAATTTTCATTCAAATTCTATGCTGACAACACAAGAAATATGCTTGAAAACTCTTTTCATTTTTCTCTCTACCAAATCAAAATTATCATTTGAATAGATGGAAAGAGGAAAATATATAATGATTAGTAATTATTACTGGTGTAAGTCATAACAAAAATATTACAAACATCTAAACATGATATAAACATGAATTTTTTCTTTTCTAAAATAATAATCTTAATTTCATTCAAAACAAATAATAATGAATGTAACTGTCTCTGTTTATCTCAAAGAAGACCAATACAACATATTAGTATTACTACTACTACTACTACTACTTATCGGTAATGATAGTAGGCTATACACATATGCATTAAAAAAAAAACACGAGCATACGTGTTTCATCAGTCACTTGTTTTCTATTATGTTCATCTGAGAGCAAAGAAGGGAAATTTGAACAGAAAAGAATAAATAAATTACTGAAAGACAGGAACTTGAAAGATATAAACAACTTTCAAGTAGGTTAAGTAAATTATTTTGTTTAGTAAAAATAGTACCTTTACGTAGATAGAGGAGATGCATTGTATTCATCATCTTTCTTTTGCTGCGTTCATTCAATATTAAACGAGTATTTACAAAATGTTATAACAATAATCATCGTAATAAAACAAATTTTTCTTAGTTTTCTATTCTTCCTGCCTCTCACTTTTTACACATCGGAAATATTACTTGGTGGTGAATAGTTTAACTGTTTAGATTTAGAAGCTAAGCGATTGTGTTCCGTTTGTTTATTTTCCCTTAAATCGTCATTTATGAACATGGTTGATTTTAAATTAGAGAATTCTTTAGATAAATTGATAAGTTTTTTCTTTTCACTGTCAGTCTCCTCCTCCTCCTCGCCCTCCTCCTGATCTTCATGTTGCCGTTGCTGCTGCTGCTGCTGTTTCGTCTCATTTATTCTCTTTTCATCACCTACTGCTTTGTGAACAGGAAACAATAAGGTCAATTGAGAAATTTCTGGTTGATTCACTACTCTACTGTTCGATGGTTTAACTATAGTGGGATACGATGGTGGATTAGATTTTACAATTGATTTATCAAGAATCATTGTTGATGCAGTCGACGATCCTGTTGTTGTAGTTGAAGTATTTAAATTAGCTAAACAAACTAATGGGACCGCCGTTGATGACGACGATGCATCAGTCCCATGTGAACAACCAAGTGTATTCACATTATTCTGCGGATCAACTAGAAAGGTAAGAGATATATAGATAGATAGATAGATGATGTGATTGTACAGTGTTGTGAAAATTGTCAATAAAATTTCAAAGTATTTTAAACCATTTATTATATCATCACATAAAAAACGCTTATTATTATTAAAATGTTTTATTAACAACGAAAAAATCCGATCGACAATTTTACTTGGAATAAAAAGAAAATTTTCTTAAGTACATCATATTTCCAACAGAACGAGAAATGGGTATTTTAGGAGTAAATAAGTACAATGCTCATTCATGTACGTAATTTCGCTTTCGATTTTCATTTCATTATATTCATCGGACTAAAACACTCTCTTATCAATTTTACACTAGTTGAACTCAAAATATAATTATTCTCTACAAAATTATTTTATAAGATAAATATTGGCTGGGATTCTTTTTTTTTTTCAATTTCATTCAATTCAACGGACAAATTTACTTGCACAGAACTAAGTGCATTATGCTTTCTCTCAAACTCATTTACTATGTACACGTTTATATATATAATCGAATTTGAAAAATATTGATTGTTTAGAGATTGGTGATGCTGCAAGGTATTTGAGAAAATCAACTGGAAAATAGCTATTACATACAACGACAGACCTTACAAATCAGTATCATTCAACAGACAATGAATAGTTGTGCACCAAGTGAATGTTTATTCTTGTGCAACATTATCAATAATACTTATTCTAAATTACCCTCAAGAAATGATTGCTTTTGAGACTTGATTGTGAATTAGGCGAAGGAAACGAATTGTTTAAATCATCTTTCTAAACTTGCTATTCGCCAATGATGTCTGATCAATTAGGCTAATGATTAATCAACCCTCAAATAATGATAGATATTTCTAATTAATTTAAATACTCCATGTTTATTATTCAAAACAAACTACCGACTTAGAGACTCAACAAAAAAACATTCATAACTAAAACAATACGGTTTTGATCGAGTAGAATAAGTAGTATGGTATCATTGATCAATTATCGATTTCTGTTAATCGATTACTAATTAACCAGCAGCTTTTTCATTCGACATCAATCATATATGAATAGTAGCCTAAGTGATGCAACATCACTGGTTCAAATCCCACAAAGAGTATCATCATCAGGTACATCAAAACTGCACATGCGTCTTTGTGACGAGGAGTGCCAGCTAGCAATAAAACAGGCGGTTATTGAGAATTCAATGATTAACATTTGTAAATTTTAGTTGATATGACCATTATTAAATCTCATCAGTTAACATTTATCTCATAATAATTAGGTTAACAAGGTGATGACATATGCATAAAACAAATAATTGATCAAAACTTGACTTAATTACCTGAACGTACACTTTCACCAGTCTTACTGTGACAATCACGATTGATATTATTGTTGTTATTGTCATGAATAAGCTTTCTTATTTGCACAGACGGAGACTGTTCAGTTGTTGTCGTTTCAGTCATTACATTGGAACTGATTTGTTTACCACTACTGCCGGTGCTAATACTACTATGACTGCTGGAATGCACACCACGTGGATTTGCCGAGTCGAAACGATTATTGACAATCATTGTGTGCTGGCTATTACACATGTAACTTTTACTACCAACAATACCACTATTATAACCAGTACTTGTTGGATTGTTAGCTAAAAACTTTTCACGTATAAATTGTGGCGGAAAATCGAGTAAACTGTGGGAGAAAAAAAACAAACAAACAAAGAAATATGCAGGAAAGCAGAAAACATACATATTACTCAAATTCGCTATACTATATTCATTATTGTCTCTCTATAAATAACCTAACTTTAATAAGTGTGTTCTATATTTTGTAAGATTAGTTTATTTAAACACATAATTATCTGTGCATAGGAGCATCTAAAGATTGATGCACCACACAAGTAATTAAATTTGTGTATAAGACGGGATTATTACCCGGCTTCCCAAAGAGGAGCAGGTAATTTCTAGGAGCCACTCCTCGACTCTTTGACTCAGTAGTATAATCTACAAGGCAGTGCAGCAACATCAGGAGGTACAGTCCCACGGCAGTCGATGATGAACAATAGGTGCATGCGTCATTTTTGTAAACCACATCACGAGAAGACAGTGAATAGGACTTCCCTAGTAGTGGCTATATAAAAGCATTTTGAGAGCAAGAGCAAACTCTACCCACTCTCGACCATACCAGGGCATTTGACAGAAGATAGAAATAATACACACACTACTTATTTCTGTTTATGTACATTTACAAACACAAACCAATTTATTACTTCGATATAAATGAGATAAGAAAAAGTTGACAAATATTTAGACCGCCGGATAATAACATAGACAGCATAGGTTGTGTTGAAAACAATCACTTCTCGACTGAATTTGATCTAGAATTAAGTAAAACACTATACATTAAATGCCAATCCAGAGATTAGTGATCAAAGCGTGATTCAAACAAAGTAATTACATGTACTAAAAGCAGAAAAGCTTAGTTTAGTCTTAGACAGACAATCATCTTCAACCAAAAAGTATGACACGGGGACATCTTGAGCAAGAAAACGAGTAGTTCTTAGGAATCAGTAGACTTTGAATGTAAACAACTGATTTACTTCCAAAGCAGACGAAAATGTTCGCAAAAATTCCTTATCTTCATTGGAATTACGAATATATAACAGTTAACTTATACTTTGAAATTGTTAGAAATACACCAAGCTTAGAATAATACATATATTTCTTATGACTTACGATGCGATCTTTCGTAGTTTTGTCTGTTCAACAACTGTTTTACCACGGGATAATAATTGCCGAGCTGTCATACAACGTATATGATCTTCAAAAAGGAACTTTGCAACCATAATCGGCGATTTATTATTACTATTAGTGTTGCTGGCTAATCGGCCAGGACTAGAATTTTGATATGTTAAATGACCAGGTGCATGAATGGTCACGTGAAGACAACGACTATCAGCCGGATCACAATGAGACTCCAAATCCTGATTGTACAATAAAGACGAAAAACATAAAAGAAAAACATTAAAACTGGTAAACTATCTTGTTTGAAACATGTTAAAAACTAATTTCAGATAAAGTACATAATACACTGAATAGGATCTTTGTTACGTTTTAATATCACTAAAGATTTAGTTGGATAGGCTTTTTAGATTAGTTTAAAATTATAAAAAAACTAGTTTACATCGTCGATTATCACCAACCTATGAGTTAAACATCAGGAAACATTCAATAGCTGCTTCGTTATGTGGTTCAAGAACTCCTTATCAGTCTTATGGGCAAATCGTTTTGAATGTGAATCACCAATTGTGCACTACGAGTTACCTCAATCGAAAAAAATGTCTTAACAAACATCAAGGTAGCAGGAATTCTACCAAAATACATACAATTAGTTCTTCTTTACATGATAAATCACACAGGGATATCGAAAATTGAGAACTAAATAAAAATTAAATCGTATAGGATTTGATTTATTATTGACTTCATTCATTGTCAGGACAGTACTTGTCACGAATGTACAACAACCTAAGTAGCCGTAAATCTCACCAACACAGAAAGAATACAATTAACAAAATCAGTACTTTAGGAAAGAAATCAACCGATTCCAACCCAAATTCCAAATAATCACAGCCATAATTACCAAAAAGTTATTGAGTACAATAGCAATTAATTTTATCAGTAATAATAAAGAAAGAAAATTGGTTTTGTAAATTGTTGACACTGATGTTAGTAATCAAAGACTCACTAGCAACTATTGTTGCTCAACTGCTCAGTACGATAGTAGAAATGTTGGCTTCATCAGTTTCATTCAATAATAATTGCTACTTTTGACTTTCCTAGATCCATCTTTTTTAATTACTTAGTCCAATTAAGAGCATATTGATGAGCTTCAAACTACCTTTCTTTCTAACAAGGCAAAATAGGGAGAAGTATTTAGACGGCTATTTCTGGACCATAATGCAGCATTTGACTCTGTTGATGAGATTCTAAGGCAGTATTTGTCAATGTGAAGTGTACCAGAGAAGTGCATACACCGTAACGTTTTATGACCCGGTCATCCAGGAATAATAGCCTCAAAAACACTATACAGGACAAGTGGACGGCCTCTTCAGCTTTGTTTACGTGAACACCAATTAGCAGTCAAACGCTACCACAATTCTTCGCTTATATCAATACACACCGACAATTAGAGACATACATTCGATCGGAACAATGTAGAATACTGGATAGGGGGAGGAGAAAGAACGCTAGAGAATTTTCAGAATCTTGGTCAATCAGCAATCAACAAACACATCGATATTGATCCAATTTATCAACCAATCAGAAAAATCATAGATGATACAGGATCAAGAAACAGATCAAAAGGCGGGGATACAATCAAAACAAAGGTGCAAACAACAACAGATTTAAGGTTGATAGCAACCAACCAAGATCGAGGTTAACAGAAAATGCTACGGGTCAAACGTGGAGAAATTCAAATGCTTTACTTCTGTCTGAAGTTTGTGCTGATGTTGTTTAGTTAAAAAAACTTGGGTATTGACTAGATTCATGATTCGGTTGTTATAGACAGTAGGTAGTATTAGGTATTGGGTTCAAGTTTAGATATGATATGTCAAATTAAAATAACCGTACGTTAAACGGAATTCTCAAATAGGACAGGGACAATCATCTTAAACTTTAGTGGCATCTAATCTCCAAAATATGATATCTGCAATAAATTGATATAGTTTAGTAATAGAAAATTTTCTTGAAGTACTTTCAATTATGATTGGACAAGGAAATTCGATCTGACAGGCCTTTAATCTCATACAAAGTAAATCTAACTACCAATCGGCAAGGAAACTCAGTAACCAAATACAAAGATTTATATAATCGGCTTTAAGTTGTACAATTTTTTACTAAACAGTTAGTGATTTTATCAGACTGTTTAAGCTGGAAAAGTTGAAATAATGTTGGAATAGTAGTAATTCAAGTATTTTAACTACTAAGTCTCTGCTTCTCCTCCTACCAAAAAAAACATCGTTTTTTTTCTCACTCATATAGTTCAGAGTGTAAAATTCGTACAAGATGTTCATGACTATCAATTGAATATAACAAGATATTTGTAAAAAAATATTGGTGTTAAAATCATATAGGCTTAGCCATTGAAACAATCGACTTTCAACTAGCAAGTTACAGACTGGAACACTGTTCTTGATCTATGTTCTGATTAAGATTTTTTTGAAGTGATCACATAAACTCTCACATACAACTGTAATTCCAAGTCAACTACACAAAGTCCACCAGATGAATCACTACTTACATGTGATCAATATCCTATTAAAAAAAAACAAGTCACTTCATATCCACCTATATTACATGAATGTTAAACCATCAAACCATATGGATTCTGTATAAATATGAGTTTGACTCAATTTATTAAGTGATATTTTGATAGAACAGTGAGAAGACGTCTTCTCACTGTTCTATTAAAATTTATAAAATGGACTAATTGTTTTAAGTGATATTTGTTTGAACTGGACTAAAACAACATAAAAGTGAATGACAATTGTGAATATAATAATTATGCCAATATTCACTAACTTGTAATGGCCCGATAAATGTTATGACACCCCAACCAAGTTGCTTTGAATCAGGTTTTACCAGAACCAACTGTTGACCACAACTGACTATAAAACGTTTTTCATGACTATAAGGTATTTTGAAAAAAAAAGATAACAACATGAAATCATCACGTATGAAATAAAGTTAAGAGAAAAGTGTCAACTTCAGTAATGATTATGCCAATAATAGTTGAATTTCTAGTCAGTATTTACAAGACATTGTTATCTGTGGTCTAGATGGTGAAGCGTTAGCGATTATGCTACTAACAAGGTGGCACATGAGTAAAACACAGTGCAGCGTCACCTAGAAGTTGCTGTCAGAGAAAAGTATCTAGAGATCGAAATGCATGGCGCGATCAGAGTGAATAGAAGACTAGAAAAGATGTGAGAGAAGACAGCTAGGCGCCTGCGTGTATTGCAAATGGATGTTTGAAAGACTAGGTGTACATATTTTGTAAATAAATTGTGTCTTCGCTGAATATATATATATATATGTAGTGAACGAGAACACAGGTGGGGCAACCGGACTGTATTTAGCGAAAATTACAGAGTTACTCAGTAAAATTGGAAAACCATATCGTAAATCGTTCATTTGCAAAATAACAGTTCATCATATCGAACTGGACTGTTCCTGTTGCAAAACATCAATCCATTGTCACTATTCTTGCGTTTCATACAAATTCCATTGTGTTCTAACTCTTCCTTTCTTGATCTTCCCCCATCTTCTGCTGCCAGAAATTACGATGACACTCACGTCATATACTACTTATAAGTAGCGCGCACCACATATATATATACCATCTGGTCTGACTCCTTCGTACGTTACACTAAGACCAAATAGTTGTATAGTGCTTTCAATGGTGGTCTAGTGAAGAATTTTTTGTAACTTGAACCATGAAAATCGTTATCTGTCGGAAAGCTTTTGGCAACCAAAGAGTACTCAGCAGCTGTTCTGTCTGGATGAACATACAACAAACACGATCATACACATCACGCATCAAAAGACAATTATCTCATCTAAATTAATTTTCTTCTATATCAAATACTTTTTAGATAAATAACACAATCAATCAGGCATAATATAATTCGTCAGATATTCCTTCAGTTAAAAGAAAAATGAACAGTGCAGTTCTCACATGCATGTTAACTTTCAAATTAATCAATTAAATACATCACACATGCATATTCACAGTTTATTTTTGAAACTAAAATACAAGATACATTAATAATTGATTTTAAATCAGTCATTTTGCATGAATGTGAAGAGAGAGTGCGCAATAGAAATAACATGTATCATAGTGAAGAATTAATCATACTGACATGACAAATGTCAATCGGTAAACTGATGCGAGTAAACGTAAGGAATACATTTATGTCATAGTAACTTTGTTTTTTTATTTTTACTTAGTGAAAACCATTGAAAATTTGGCTAATAGACCTAAACTAATAGTTCAACAGTATTATCAAAATCATACAACAAAGTATGGAATCACAAATTTATGAGACAAAAGACAATCCGTAATTGAGAATCAAGCTACTACTGTTATTCATACAACTTTAGTTCTTGTTGTGTTCATCCGTATATGATTAATGTACAGGTTCAATTGTAAGTGCTAATTCATCTTGGTTAATTACAAACAAACCAAGTTTCTTCTTCTTCTTCTCAAGTTTACCTGAATAGGAAACTGGGTTAAGAGTGGTTTTGAACACCAAAGAGCGTGGTAATAGAGCATGAGAACAATTTTAGATGAGTTAGCTTCATAATTTTAAGCCTCTATTATAGATAAGGGGAATCCATGAAAAAGAGTAGTGTACAGATTTCAGCATCAAACTTTTCTAATCCCTACCCTCTATAGTACGAAGGCAGCTTTGCTGTAGATGTTGATGTCTACGAGGAATACTGTTAGCAACTCACCCCTGAGCAGTTGGTAGTACGGATTCGACTTCGAAACTTAAGTCCGTTGCTCAATACAGTATAATTACTAAAAACAAAAGTTCCTTTCCACATACAGACAGATGACTAAGAGTCATCAATGGATATCACCAATCACTCTTAAAAACAGTCAATGTTTCTCCCTCTGCATCTATTAATTCTTCATGAGAATAATGATAAATATCACAACCTGTTTTTCTCATAGTAAATCAATATGTCACATGTTAAAGGCAATTTCATAAAATTATAATTTTATTGACGCAAACAAACTGTAACGCGAAAACAATTTAACATATAAAAGACAACAAAAAGAACAAGGGACATTCAAATAACAAAAGATTTTGGTGAGGAAAGAAAAAGGAAATGCACAGTACACATTAGAAACAGTATGAACACTTACATGCCAGAACATTCCACTGTACATCCAATCAATGTTTCAGAGACTAAAGTAATAATAATAACAGTGACCTTATTAAAAATGAAAATTCAAAATAAAGAACGTTGAAGATTAAATTATCCTGCAATCAAATACTGTATATATCACTGAGAGAAGTATCAAATTGTGCCTGTGTCCTTATAGTTTGAAATCAGTTTGTGAAAAAAAAACACCGACTTAATCCATACCTGCAATTAAAGATTTACTGTGTTTTATCTTTAAAAAACACTCATCATCCACCAACTATTACGAACACATTTACCAAATTAGGTTGTCTGAATTATAGCAAGCAAACACAATGGTTGTTATCTATCAATGAAAACTCAAAACAGTTGAAAATGTCGGAAGTTGGATCAGGAATTAGTAAATTCAGTAAAGATATTTTCGAATAAATTTTAGGATATGTTGAAAATTCCTAAAAGTATCTAAAAACTGAAACCGAACTCGTTACATCGACCTGTAAATTTTTAAAGCTTAAAAATCCAGTAATCAATCAATACTTGATTCTGTGATCGCTCACAAATCCCATTGAACTGAATTTACTGTTAGTTAGTGTAGATTTGAGCAAGTTTAGATATACTACTGTCATATTGGTCGATCAAATGTGTGAATGGTAAGATTAGGATATTTCTAACGAGTTAATTGGGAGAATTGGGATGCGTGTACTCTTGGAACAGACAGATATGATTAGGTGATGTCAGATTTGAAATTTCACAATACACGTCCAGAATCATTTTAATCACCATCGATATAAGCAATCAAAAAAAAAATTTAACAACTCAACAAACTTTTTCTAGAATGAACTGACTTCAACTGATCTGCGAGTATATCTTTTGACAATCATCCAATATTGTCAGCGGATAACTACTACTTTGTGTTCATAAATGCCGAACTACACAAATCACAAGACTAACTCACATGTACATCTATAAAACATTTGCTAACATTGTGTACCAAACTCGTACAACAGTAGGCCAGAAACGTTTTTAAAAAAATAACAATGAATAAATAAGACAGTTCTCAACTTACATAGATCTAATCTATCTCCTATCTTTAATACAGGTGTAGTTGTTTTAGGATCTGGTATATTACAAAATCCGCCTAATCCAGGTATTCCGATAAGATTGGAGAAAAAATTGTTTGAGAATATCTTCGAATTATTAACTGATACACCACTGTTATCCGTACTGACGACAACATCTTGACATGGGATAGCATTGACTTTTAAAGACAGCATTCTCTCCAGCCAAATATGTACAATAAGATAGATTCCGATTGCACGTTGTACATGTTCACGTTCATTATTCGGTAACCGATAGATTAAATCCATATCTTTACATGTCAACATTGGTATCTTATTGAGGCTGCTACTGCTGCTAATACTACTAATAGTACTAGTAGTAGCAGCATTTTTAGTTACCGTATTTGATTGCTCCATGAATGATGAATATGGTTGTAATAACAGACGAGCATCTGTAGCCAATGTAGACAATGACGGAAGTGCTGACTGAACACGACGCAACTCATTTTCAAACAGATCAAGAAATATTGCACTAATCTAATTTCAGTGTAAGGAAACAAAAATCAGAATCGGATGATCAACGTTCACAATAAATGAAAAGTCACTCTTATAATAAATGTTTTTTTTTCATTACTAAACCATAATAATTGATAAATTAATTGAATGAGAAAAACGAGGACAAGACAATAAAAAAGGAAAACCATTGACTAATAATAATAATAATAATGATAATAATAATAATAATATATTATTATTATATTATATTATTATTATATTATCATATATTATTATTATTATTATTACTATTATGAAATATCTTGCTTGTTTTAACATTTGCATATAACTCAAAACAGGCTTTGAATTGTAAGGCCTGTTGTCGATCATCAAGTTGGATATATTCAAACCCAATTAACCTGAGACATAAATCAATTTTCTAAGTTTAGTTATGATATATATATATATATATATATATTCAAGGTTTTGTTCAATTTCGAACACGCTTGCTTATAGTTACATGGTGGCAATATACTAATATAATTGTTATTACTCTTTAATCATTTAAGAAATGATGACATCAGACAGACGAACTTGGCCAACATTAACAAACAGAATGTATGGTACATTATTCAAGTATTTAGTTACGAAATGATATCAATTAGATTTCAGAAATTCAGTGTGGTACTGAAAAAGTTCCTTATTCTAGTTTGTTGTTTCACAACAATAACCACTCGCACACATCTCTACATGGAACCTGAACTTATTAATATAACCGAGTGAAAAGCGTCCAGATTTTACCATCGAAAATTGATACAACAATATTACATACAAGCTTTGTACAGCCAGTTCCAAGTCATACATTTTATGAGCGATGATAGCTAGGTAACACTGTCTATGACCTTAGAGCCGAAGCGAAATTCAGACCAGCAAGCTGGTGGTTGCACGTCAAGTACTTCAACTAATAAAACCGCTGTTTCACTATAGTGGATATGCATACATCATATCGAATTTCAGTTTATTTTTAATTTTTCAGTAAGAAAAAGTGTTGAATGGCAAACGCATGCTACGAAAGACTCATTAATATATATATAGCAAGAATACCTCGAAATAACTCCTTAATACAAGCATCGCTTCTTCACGAGCATTAATAATTCCAGCGAAGTGTTGATCGGTTAATTGACAACCACAATCGACGCTATATACTAAATCTGTTAGCAGACAAACAGCCATGCGAACAGTGATTAGACGAATACGACTTTCTGTAAATTGAAAAATATGCGACATAAGAAAGGTTAACTGAAATAAAAACCTGACAACATTAAAATCAAGTTATTCCGTTTAAATATAGTCAATCATATACTTTAAAGAAAGGCATAAATAATACTGATCTATCTATGAATATTACTTGTATATATATACATATATGATCAATTCAGCAGAGATCATAAGTAATGATCAAGAAGAAATCTAATTAACTAACTCACAAACTCTGAAACATCCGTAAGTATTTGACACAATTATTACATAAACATTTTTATTTATCAGTAAATTACTACTACTGTATAAGACGCGTAAAGAATGTGAACAGAACGTAGGTCAATACAAAAGTAGTCAGTGAAATAATAAGTTCAAAAAGTAAAAATAAGCTGTTGATATACTAATAGACAGCAGAAAAAGAATAATGAAACAGAAAGAAAAAAACGATTCCTTAAAGCTTTCACCAGCAAAACTTTTAGCCTCACAAAGACTCAATAAGTAAGCAGTAATACAAACGGTAGACTAATATACACACTATTCATTATTATTTGCTGTAATTCTAAAGTGTAATGTATGTATGCCAAGCCCATGAATATGTAATCAGTGTTTGAGAGGAACAGAACTACTGCCACTATCGACCTGCTTGTTCAAGTAAGAGGATGTACGGAGGAGTTTGAACCCACAGCCCGATAGACATAGAGTAGGTAGATTTAACCACTAGGACGACAATATGAAACAATAAAACGAAAGAAAGTGAGAAATAAAAAATGAATATTGAAGATAATCAAAATTCTAGCGATGAAAAACGTATTCAACCAGAGAGTTTACTGTTGGGGATGTTAGATCCCCAGAACTCGCTTGATAAATGTCTTATTTTGGATTTCACGTTTGCGAGCATGGGCTGATCAGTTGACCTTGAGATTTCATTTCCCACCAGCGAAATTCATGGCTGTGATTGGCTGCTGTGTATTTTAGAGTGTTATTTTCGTAACTGTCCCAAGGACATTTCTATGATGTATAAATAAACGAGAGTTGTGTGCTTGATGGTATTGTGATTGCTGTGTGTTTGTAGAATATACTTTCTACGCTTACCAAGACTTCTGTTTACAGCATGGGATTCAATGTAGCCTATCTGGACGCTGGTAATTGTCTCGTTCGTGTTTATCGACTAAAGTGAACTCGTACAAAACCATTTAAAAACAAAATTATATTAAAGATCAAGGCAAAAACTATTTATTTACCAGCTTTACATGCGTCACCAATTAATTCAATAAGCTTCGTGACAAGTGTATAATTATACGACGGTTCATTTTCCTAAAATACGCGTAATGTTCAGAACAGAAAGACGGGAGGATAAAAAAAATAAAGATAACCAAATATATCTATTAGGATGAGAAACAGTGTCCTAATAAAATACAAATGAGTTAAATTTTACATTTCTCGTCAATCAATCAGTCTACCTCACTTCTGGTTGATTAATGTGTGTTTAGAATGTGAAGAACCTATCCAGTAATAAGATGGAGAATTATTTCATCATATATTCACACAAATTAGATCGATCGTCTGAAGAATAAGTGTTCGTGCGCGGATACGACGGTCATCAGTTCAGTTCCTGAGCAACTCCCTCTGAAGTTCCTCTAGGGCTAATGTCGGTCCCAAGCCAGGGTAGATGAGTGTTAGGCATTCCGTAGGAAACTAACCCACCAAAAAACGCTAATCCGAACTAGTACCTTGACGCTAGTCACCCTCCAGCTGAAAGGGATAGGGGTTGTTGTGTTCATATCCGTCTCAACTCCCGAAACAGTGACGCGATTCCAGCACCCCATGTCCCTCCAGTCAAATCACGATCTCGCCCAAAGCGAGCACATTCCACGCAGAAACGCGGCTGCAGAATCGAGCACTAATTTTTGTTTGTTTAACCGTGTGCCTTCGGGATCGGTGCCCGTCACTGTCGAGCTGTGTGCTCATACAAAGCGACCCCTCACCCCAGGTTGGTCGTTTATTTTACATGCACGATTATCGCACTAACACTAGGTACCTGGTGGTCACAGGTACCCAAGATTCTGCCGTATCGTCCGGTAGCAGAAAGTCATAAGCTACAACGCTTCGATTACGCGCCGGAAATGGCCCTGTCATTTCTACCTACGGTACACGACATCTAACGATCAATTTGAATAATCAACGACAGTATCTGTGTATGTTCATCAAACCTGATGTCCCCATAGCCGTACTCGGTATCGATCTCCTACAGCAGTATGAATTGCTATTCGATTCACGTAGGCTGCAATTAATCGATACCTTGTCGAATATTAAATTCAAGGGTGTTAACGATCCAACAAATGTGTACCTATTCACTGTTTTTTAACAAGACTATTTATTTCATTTTACGTTTGATAAATTCCCCCAGTTAATTAACCGAGGAGATTTTATCGGTGATTAATTATGTGGTCAGCCACAACGTCATCCACCAACCCTCAGTCACGGCAAAACCTCGCCGACCGGCACTGGACTTATTGGTTTTCGCTAAGCATGAGTTTGACAATCCACTTGCTATATGTATTATTTCGTCTTTCTCACAATACTTGGGCCTCCCCTCTCCACTCGGTTCGCAAAACAGATCGCGTTAGTTGGAGACCATGCGGAAATTACAGAGCATTACAGGCAGATATTCAGTGTTCCGTCTCTGAACTTGTGTACAGCACAACATTGCATCTGCCCGGGGAATTTTTCGCTCCACGGAGCAGCGATTTTTTTGTATATCAGATAACGTCCAACGACTATCTGCGTACATGCGAACACTGCCTCTGGTGTCAACTCGAATACAGCATCGACAGGTCGCTCTTCCTAGAAAGTTATTTACCTGTCCACGTGTATTCATACGAGTAGATTCGGTACGTAAACCGCAGCAAGAGCCTTACGAGGGAATTTTCCACGTGACTTCCCGTCACGAAAAGACCTTCAAGGTTGATCGACATGGCCGCGTTGAGACCGTCAGCATTGATCGTCTCAAGCCATCACACGTCGAAGACAGTACTCTACCTGATAAGTTGATCCGTGGTGCTAGACCCGTCGAACTAACCAGCAGGATCCCTACGTCCCTTTAGGACCTCATACTAGATACCTCAGAGACCTCATTCTGACGTCCCAGTCAACAGCACGTGTCATCTGAACCATCTACGGATGAGACTTCGGTCTCACGTCCAGATCAGCAGACTAAGCCGCCCCTGACTTCGGATGAGATTGCAGTCTCAAGCTCTCAACCAAGAGGTGCGAAAATAGACTACCGTTTCACGTTCCGGTCAGTAGTACATCTACCTGTACGCTTTCGCGAATAGCCTCTCAATAAGCAACGTATAAGCTACAGGATTCTACCCTTACTACATAGTTGCTATATCTCTTCTTTTTTTCTGTGATTTCTTTCCTTACCCTGAGCTTACGCCTCTGACCATCGTCCTTCTGGTACTGCTAACTTTATTCAATCTCGACAACCTCTGACCTGATAACTCACGCCCTTGTCAATGTACTTGGTCGACATTCTTGTTCCGATTACGTCAGGCATATGTTCGATCTCGAACCTGGTTATTATGGGCGCTTCCAGTTGCTCTGCTCAATGTGGTTTCGTCCTATCTCTGCAGCTTTTTCTGGTCCGGGTATATACGAACGCCATCTTCAGATTCTGGATATGAACCACTCTGTTGTGGAAAGCCAACTCGAGCAGTAAATATGGCACGTTACTCCTGGTATCGTCCTACGTAAAAGACTTTTGGTGACAACTCGAAAATAATGGATCGCTTCTTGTTCGTTAACTCTTCCGTCCTACAATGGCACGTTTGCCGATCAGTCCCAAGAACGAAACCGCTACGTATCAAAATTGCGAACCCTTTATAGAGGGAAGCTACTGGAGTGACTTCACTATTACCAAGAGAACGCTATTTTTAAATAGAAACACTGATTATTATAACCAATTGTACCAGTGATTGTTTTACTGAACTTCTTGTTTATTCGTACTTCTGTACGCGTACTTTCCGCTTTCTTTGTTGCCAACTCGTTTATACTACTCGCTGTAACTTCGCCCATTTTCTCTGGCACGACCCTGGTATTCTTTCGATACCACGAAATCGCCAGCAAATGTACTCCTTCATCCGGACTATCTCTTCTTCCCTGTTTTCGGTTCATGAAAAGACAACGCGTTAAGACTAGAACGTAATTGGTTTGTAGTGGTGTTCATAGTCGACCTCGACTCGAACCACTACAAACTGAGATACACACATCCAACCATTATTCAACTAAAATGTATTAGGCTGGTTAACGTAGGAATTCGAATGAACCTGAAAGGTGATCGGATGAATATATGGTCTCAGTCAATGAAGTTATTGGTAGGTAAAGACTCCCTATTCGAAGCACAAGAGACAAAGTTGGTTGAGGACCTTAAATTATACGATTTGAAATCAGTTGAATCAGAGCAAAACTATTCATTATCAATCATCTTTTAAATCTTCAGCTTTAGCATTATGTCATACTTCTCATTTCCTTACTGTATTAGAACTTTCCAAACTATATTTTCGGCTTTCCATATTATTCCCTTTCATACATTTCTATGTTTTGTTAAGTTCACATCCAGGTATGCGGTTGTGTGGTGTAACAGCTTGGACCGATTCACATCTATACCAGGTGTTCTAAGTTATTTTAAAATGACTAACAAAACACACATTCCAAATAACACTCACGTAAATAAGTGTTGAGTTACAGGAACTACGGTTGATTCGGTTTATTTTAGATCGATAAACTACAGAGAATTCACTTCAATTACTGCTTTTTAATCGTCCATGATAATATCGGATGATCTCGAGGATGAGGTGATGCAGTTTTGAAAAATGATTACGTTGGTTTGAACCTTTCAAGCAAGGATGATAGTGATGCATGTTACTCACCAAAGATAAAATACACTAGATGTATCAATGGCCACATAACATTAGAGTCAGACTTTGTGTTCGATAAACGCCAATCATCGATAAATCTAGACACGAATTTTTTAAAGATTCAATGATTTTTTTCTAGTTGGAAAAATCCACATAAGTACGTAACGTTGTGACTTGTAAACTCACAATTCAAAAGCATAGACTTTAGTGTTATTATACTTCATGCTAACACTATTTGTTCTAAATGTTCAAACAAAATGGACAGAAAATTCTAAAGTATTTTAAGCACTAACACTCATAAAATAATCAAAATTAGTAATATATACATTTATATATACTTACAATGTAAGGACTGTTTAATTGAGCAAGTTTCAAAGTGGGAGAATCAACACCTAAGAGAGAGTTTTAAAATAAGAATAAAAACATATTATAGAATAAACGTTACTGAGCAAAAAGGTAGAAACTTTGATATAATTGAAGACACAAGAACACATGATAACTGATTTGATCATTTTAACTGTTTTTTTTTAAATGAAAATGGAATTATCACTGTTGCGTTATGTAATTTTTTCTAGATTCAACAACGAAACAGCACAATGTGCATGAATTTTTATTGCCTCTTATTGACAGGCGAGTTTTATTCGTTACAGAGTGAAATCAAGATTAACAAGCACTAAATAGATGTTACATCCCAGCAATGAACAGTTGAGCATTTTTCTAAGTAACAGTCAGTCATAAGCAACCTAAAACCTGGTACATATGGGTATTGATTTAAGCTATCACAGGACACAGCTCAAGAGAGGTGAAATAATCAGGATGAGTGCCACTAGTAATGATTTTACGGAATAAAATAATTTGGATATTCATTCAGAAATAATCTAAGGAAACACAAAGAATGAATATATCTGAGCCACTAAGCGCGATTTTGAATCCTATCATCCAATATCTCTCTGACAAACGGTCACGAGAATACCGCGGACCCCAACTAGACAGTCCTATGCAACCATCAACATGACTTAAACTAACATTCAATGGCCATCTGGACTGATGTCGTGTTTTAGTTTAGCCTCGCTAACTAACCACTACAAAAGATAATCAACAAGGTTCACAACAACTTTACGCTTAATAAATACAAATTAAACAGAACAAGCTACTGCTGAAAAACTTAACTCTTAAGGACAATTCTCTGATATGTAGCTTTTCAAGTAGAAATATGCATATGGTTTTACTATTCCAATAGAAAACTGAAGAATCGATTGTTCTAATGATTTTTCATTTCTTTCCTTAGTATCATCACCATCTTCTCTTAACTTCACTATTATTGAACTTTTTGGTAAGATTAAGTAAACAATTATCCAAACAGCAATACATATAAAGGCCATGCGCGGCCGGCCTCAAGCAGATGTATCTCGAGCTCTAAGGTCAGGCTGCCAGGTCTCTAAGACCAATAATAATCGAACTTCATTTTTAGATTGCTCAAGAAACACCCTTCCACTGTGTAGGAAGCCAGGAATAGACATCTACCCTCATACTTGTAACAGTGCGGGAGACCAAACTAATGAGGATCAAATAACCCTCTTACATTTTAATAACGATCTCAGCTCCAAAACCAAACATTCCGAAGTTTCGTTATCAACTCGTGACGCTAATGCAAACAATCAAATAAACAAAATATAATTCCTGGCCTCGTGAAACCCTGTTCTAAACTACATATTGGAGTATTTAATGTTCGAACCATGTGTTAAATAAAGCAACAGATATTCTTAGAAGGGACTATAAAATCCCGCGCCATCGAAATATGTTGTAATTCCGAAATGTCCATAGAGAATCCCTGTACAATCATTGATCTGACCTCACCTCATCAATTTAAAGAACCGACTCTATTTACTCTCCACGTATATAGGAACCCGTGGCCTCGCTAATGTAAATATAGCACTGAAACGCGAATACAGGGTCAGAGTAATGCATTTGACCTCTAATAGTCAAGATAAAGAGCAGTCTCAATTTACGTCCCGCGTTCCTGGAAGCTCCACTGCTGCTTCCTGTGGCCTCTCTGGTGTAGTCATTGTACTGCACTCTAAGGCTGAACTAGCTCTCTTCGACTGGTGGATCCCAGTAGATGGTCACTTATGCGCTATCTGACTAAACGGAACGGTAAGAACTCGGAAAGACAGGGACACACGCCGTCACCCATTCGTTGTCTCTGCATACGCCCCCACTGACAGCAATCAGGATAAGGTAAAAGATGAGTTTTATAGAAAGCTTTCCAACCTTCTCCAAAAGCTAGGCGCTCTGACGTAGTAATAGAGGCTGGTGACTTCAATGTTAAAGTGGGTAGACTAAGTGAAACTGAGAGACACCTGGGTGGATCTTATTGTGTCGCGACTCAAAGAACAGATTATGGTGACCGTCTGCTGCAGCTATGCTCAGATAACTGTCTATTGTTGACAGACACTAACTTTGAGCATAATAAAATCACCTTTTGACATGGCGACCACCAAAGTCAACTCAACACCATCACAACTAGATCACATGGTTATTAGCCACTGATGAAGTGGTTAGGTAGAAGACTGTCGCTAATTCTGTAGCACATGTTTATTATATTCAGATCATGTTTCAATGAGACAGTGCATTTGTCTGTATCTCACTCAACGTAGGATAGACGAAGTAATTAAACATCTTGGAATTTAACTAAACGATAGCATGTTCAAGAGTATATTTCAGGAGCAACTAGAAAAACAGTAAGGGAGTTATGTAAGTAATTCCCACTCCGAGGTAGCTTATAACGGTATACGAAAAACTGTGAAAACAGCAGTGACATCTGTTAGTAAGGTAATCCATAAGGTTGAGGAGAATTAGTGGATTTCTGTAGCACCTATTACAAACATAGATACTCGGAAACTGACCCCATCTTGCTCTGAACATGGTGAGGAGCGGAGTCAGCTTAGGCGCAGGCTGATATGAAGCCTACGCAATGATCGCGAACAGTGATGGGTAGCGAAAGCGAGAGAGATGGAAAAGGCGGCGACAATAGGCAATAGTAGACAACTATTCAGACTTTCTAAGGAAACCAGCATTCGACCCTGTCGAATGTGAGGTTCTGTTGTACTGTCTGTCATTATCAGGTGGGGGTGTCAGGTCTGTCCACTCTCCACATTTTTAATCAACTTTCTAATCGAAATGCTTTCAGGGACAACATTTTCATCATCTGACTTTTCAGGAGTTAAACTGTTACTAGAAGATTCACTAATTAACTGACTTAGAATATGCCGATGATATAGTTCTATTTGGTGAAGACGCTGACAAAATGCAGTCTTCTGATTACCCTAAGCAACAATGCAAGAATTTTCGACATGCGATTCTCCGCCTCGAAATGAAAAATGTCACTTCAGGGTTGGGTTACATCGGCACTCGAACTAGTGATTGAGATTTAAGTAGTTGAGCGTATTGACCGCTTTACTGGTTGGGGTCCGTGGGATGATGGTAGCCGATGGTTAGAGACCTAGAACGACATGGCTTAAAACCGTTTGCAATGGTGCATGTGCATCCATTCTTTCGCTTCTCCGAAATCCTAATCCTCTGGATTCTTTATCCCCTTTATCTTTCTGTTTTTAAATTTGTTTCACTGAATTATGCTTTTTGAATAATACCTTCGAACTTTAATCTACTTTATTACTGCTACTACCTCTCCTACTATGCGATTTCTATTGACGATTGCATCTCCGTGTTAATATGGTATAGCAACTTGAACTGATGTACTTACGCACAAAGTTCTACGTTGTAACCGACTGACATTTAAAAAGTGAGTTACAAAAATAGCAAGACAAAAAATGACCAGTTACCACTCAATGTGAACCTATTTATTCTGTTTTTCTCATCAAGAAAATTTAATAAAACTAATTTTTTTTACTTATAAAATGAACCAAACTTATATGTACGAAAATCTATAAACCATGGATTCTGGCAGAATCCCTCGGTAACTCGGAATACAAAAAGAAAAACGACATATAATTTTACCTTTATTTGACTTGATAGCAAACAACAGGAGAATAGAGAATAAAGCATCTTGATCTGAACCGGAACCGATTTCCAAAGAACGAAATAAAGATCTTAGGAAAACACGACCAGATAAATCAGATAAGTCAGCATCGACTGTTTGATCATCTTGTGTTGAAACGCCTGATAAATTAAGTGATGAATCTTCAATTTGAACTGGAGATTTTTCAGTAAACGATGCGTCTAAACGAAAATAATCAGGCAAAAAATAGGTGAATGTTTATCAAGAGACGAATTGACAGCCAAACAAACTTACAATCACTTCACAAAATCACAAAACATGGAAACAGAGTTACGTGTTGAATCGTTAAACGATATGTGTAACAAACATTTTTTGAGGGATTTAAAGATAAGTTGGAAGCTGATGCAAATGTATATCTGCCCAAACTGTCATAATTTATGTAAATTCAACAAGGCAGTTGTTTGACAAGCTCAAAAGAATAACAAGTAGAAATGGAAATAACCATAATAATAATAATAATAATAATACTATGAAATATAATAATTCCCAAAGGAATGACTGAAATTGAAAAATAAGGAATAATACTTAGAAATTGTAATAACAGCATTTTCAATCAGATCATTTTCACAAACAATGTTGTCTACAACGTTCGAAGTCTGATTTCTGTCAAATCGGTCGTTCAATTGTAGATTATAAATTATCTCGTTCATCCCAGTCATGAGGTTTCCATCTACCAGAAAAGCTAATATATGAGATCATGGACTGATTCAACCTCGTGAGTTTAGTTAATTAACTTGCCTCCAGCCAACTACTATGCTAGGCAGCATTTGTTACTCCAGAGTGAGTCGTGACTACAACCTAGGAGAAAACTCGTTCAACTCATCGTGGCTAATCATTATATTAAAATAAGTTCACTGTTGCTGTTGTACAACACTGGAGCAGAAGAAAATATTTTGATGAATAAATCCTAACAAAATCTTATGTGATCTGTCAATCTCCTTGTCCTATCAGTTTGACATTAATAGAGCTGAAAGAAGCGAAATAAATCACTTCATCTAACGTGACGTAAACAATAATTCCGATGCCGACTATGATTTATCCCGACCTTTATGGCTGGAGCTTAGTCGGCAATTGAAGATCATGTTTAATTTTTTTTTGAAAAAAACAACCATTCCATATGATACCTGGATTATGAACCATCATGGTTAAATTATTAGACTTTTTGCTGGAAACAATAAAGCGACAATCTCATATCCATCCACATCCACTAGTCATGTGATCAAGAATATTTCAATTCTCAATTAAGAAAAGTATTTTTTTTTCTTAAATACGAAAAAAGACTGATTTATTTTATGTGTTCCAAAAGTAGAATTAGCTCACATAAAAACTTCGTCAATATACAATTGAATGGTAGTTGAAGAATTATGCTCAAGGATACAATAGACAGATTACATTTTTTGATATTGTAGCTGATTACAATACGCAATAATATATTGCTGACTACGGAAAGCAGTAATGGTGCAGTAGTACAGGTTGTTGATTAAAATTTCAAGATAGCAAATGAGTGGATATTTATTACACGGACATTAGGTGATAGTGACCATAATGAAATTTCAAGTAAGCAATGTTGTTTGGCGTAAAAACAAACAATTCATATGCTAATATACTAAGATCAAATGCTTTCTTATTGTTCAAATCAAACACTAGTGATACAGATGACTATTATTGCAATAGAACAACTCAGAACTGAGCGGCTAGACAATCATGACATGGACCAGTTAATCAGTGACTAATCAATGTGAATATTTCAAAACCACAACAAATTAGCCAAGATCAAAACAGCTCAATGGTAACAGCTCCAACTGTGAGGCTCGGTAACGCAGGTTCAAATTCAGCATTCAGTATTCAATCATAGATACGCTTTGATAATGAGTGCCAACCAGCAAGAAACCTAAGCACAGGGTTTCTTTTAAACTGCTTCAAACCCAGTTAAGATAAATTTAAGTGTCTTTTTCGCTGCTAAAAAAAATGAAGTAATAAGCTTAATAATAATATATTTTTGAACATACTTCCTAGGATGTTTTATTAAATAATATAATATTCTAAACAGACACAATATAATTTTGTGATAATGAACAGATGTAGTCTACGTAACTGTGGAAAAAAATATCCTCTATAAACATATTAATCATGTCTAAACCGGAAATACTAATTATCTGAAAACAAAATCACTGACAGTTAGTTGGAGGAGGGAATTAGACATCACCGTTTTACAAATTATTCATTCCGATTGACTAACTAATAGGCATGAAGACAAACAGTCACGCTAATTGATTTGTTGATTAAATCAATCCGAAGTGACATAGTGATTGAATTGATTAGTTAACGTCAATTACTGAACATGTTGACTGGTGGTGATAATGGTTAACCAAAGCGTGTAATTAATCCATGAAGATACTGACTACTGGACTAAACCACGTGGGCAGATAGATTACCTAGTTAAAGTTAGTGCAGTTACAGCAGTAACAAATAGGTAGTGACTTTGAGTGACCAGTCTCAAAATCATTTGCGATTGTTCAGTTGCATTTACTATTTGCCCTCCCTTACATTCTAAGTTTCTCCATTGTCTTACGATGCTTTTATTCCACGAATCTTGAATGATATGTTTTCCATGACTAATGTTTGCTACTAACACTAATGATGTTATTACAGATACTAATCTGAAATTTCGCCGTGCTGAATTGATAACCTAATCAACTGTACAGTTAAACTAACTTGGTAATTTACATTACTGTAAAGGGATACTAATCCATATATATATATATTATCTCCGAACGTCCTCATCAACTAACTTTAACAACCACACATAAGACTGTTAAGCATTACAATCAAAAACTACACTTCAATTAAATACTGGACTCGTGACATATAAATGAATATCATATGAACACTAGAGTAAAAGAAAATGTCATGATTTCTTATCATACCTTAAAAGCTAGTAAAAATAACTGATATTTAATTCATTGGAATAGTGAATATTAAAATATCAACAACAATAACCAATACATATTACTTGATTTCACTGAAAATAACTGATCAAGAATGAGAATGCAAAAAGTTTCAATAAGAATAATAGATTAATTTTACAGCTAACTATATAAATAAAGTTATTATCATTGGTAATGTGACGATAATAAGCATATTCACAACAACAAAAAACATACCCATACATAAACCTGTATTGTTGTTGTTGTTAGGCGAGTGACTTTGTGAATCGTCTGATAATGAATTAGATGAGCATTTTTCCTGTAGATTTGAGGAACTAGATGACTGGACCTATTTATCCATGAAAGGGAGAGAGAGAGAGAGAGTATAAAATATGTAGAACAATTATTGATTATGTGAGAAATAACGACAATAAATAACTTTGCTACTATTATGCAATTTACCAAATGTTATGCAGATCATTGTTATGTCTGAACAATTGACTGATATCACTTGTTAAGTACGTCAACCAGAAATAATTTGACTTAGACATATATATATCATAAAATGCCGGCCCAGTCGTCTAGAGATTAAGCCTTCTGCGCGAAACTAAAAGTCTTGGGTTTGAACATCCGGGTGGATTTGCGAATGGGTACGGCTGAGAATCCCTAAACTAGAATTAAACAGCTATCCAGTGCTTTCCGGTTTTCAGTTGTTATCTCCAACTCAGATCAATTCGTAACGTAAGCTATGAGAATATACAATTATTTAGTAGATGTAAATCAGTGCATGAATAATGGAATACGAATGAAGTATTTTTCAAGTGAACACTTACAGTCAGTCACATAATATAGAAATTACTAAACTCATTATAATTGCATATCGAGACAGATTAACAGTGTCTACATATTTTAATTATTTTTGGAAGTTCTTTTGTCGTATTTTTTCTAAAAATTCAGAATCTCAGCACATTTGATGATATTTCGAAGAAAAAAATATTAATCATGCTCTAATTGTTCGAAAATGTTGAAAGGAGAGTATACATATAATATACTGAATAAACGCAAAACTTGACCCAATCTTTCCAGTGGGGTCTTACTCATTCATTTGCTGTTTCAACATCGCTTTAAGCCTGTTGCATTCATATATCATCTAATCTGAAGTTTAGTACTACCACTGTATACTTTCTACTCAACAGTTTTATTTAGTTCATTTGAAATAAATTCCTCTATTCAGGTTTCTATTATTATTTGTATTATCAGTTCCGATCGTTAGCTTTCTGACCCATTAATTCTTTCCTGTTGTGCTAATCCAACGTGACAGTATACAATAATGCACATTTTTGTCAGGCTCTGAGTTGTGTTAGAACTGGCTAACCCTGTTTCTACGGCTAATGTAGCAAGAATTCCAACGCTCTTCATATTGTATCGACCAGATCTCTACATTAAACAAAACTAAGAAACTAACAGAACTACCTGTGTCTTATAACTGGAAGCCAACTTTTCACCCGTAATCGCTATGAATGAATATGATTTCCATGAAACTATCTTCATTCAAATGATTGAAATGTCAATAATTTCATGCTTTAATTTGATAAAAACATTTGAAAGGATATGGCAATTGTTATTTCTCAGTTTTATTTTTACCAGGAAAATACATGTGACTGGATTATAATTGTTTCTTTGGTTTAAATGATCATTAAATTTAGACAGCCACAAGTATGTGTCATCATGATGCAACCGAAAAAAATTAAAAGGAGAATGCTGTAAGGTTGTGAGTGTGAATTTTGTGGAGAAACGGAAAATTTCCACTTTTGGTCCTCCAATGAAGAATCCTAAAATACATAAAGTCATTGGCAGCTCTTAGTGGTTACAGACTAACTGACTATCAATTGTAGGACTAAACATTGGAATCCCACACCACTCCGGTCCAGACAACCAAATAGTATCGCAAGTCTTCAGGCATAAAACAAGTAGCTCGAAGAAATTACTTAAGCCCGTGCTTAGCAAGTAACTTTCAGATAATTAGATACAGCCTGAAGTTAGCCTCCTCAAATTTATGCAAGAAAAAAAATCAACCGCATCGAATGTATATAAATCCATATATTTAAACCAATCTATTCCATGAATTACCACTTGTCAAACCGTTAATTTTCACTGTCTACATAAAAAACATTGTTCGCGTTGTGACGGCCCAATTGATCCGCAACTGTGTTAGCCAAGCAGTTAGTCTTTGCTCACAAGATCAATAATCCTCCAAAATATCAACTGAATAAACTTCAAAAAAAATATAACATACCTTAAGGGAAAAAAAACCACCATTGTATATTGAAAATAATCGACCTAAATAATCTAACTATGAGTTATTCGAGAACTAATTAATGAATAAATAATCAAGAGTGAAAACAGCGAATTTTTCTACGCTTCAGTTAACTATAATGACGTCCTTATAACTAATACACCATCTTTATGGATTATAACTAAAAATTTCAAACTAATCAAGAACCTATATATGACGAGAGATTGACCCTTAATTCCAAAGTAACAAAAATAGCAATAATAATGATAATAGTTAAAACCACGTGCATTTTAAAAACTTACACAAGTTTCTGAATTCTTATCTACCAGTTTTAGCGGAGGCATATTGAGTGGCCATAGAATAGACATTAACGTTGGTGTTACACCCTTCGCTTGAATTAATCCATGTTCTAATGATACACTAGGTTGAGAAAATATCAATGGATTTTTCGATGTCACTGAATGCATTAAATAAGCAGTTAATCTTTGTCCAGGCGATGCTTGATCCGCAGCTCGTAAAGACATAGTGGCAGCAATTAATGTTTTAGCAATGACCATTGCTGGATCAACACCACCACCACCACCACATGTGGTATCATCAATGTCATCGTAATTTAAATTATTCTGTACACTTAAAGAACAATCCTGAGTTGTGGAATCATCGGAAACAATTTGTGAATGAGAACATGGTATATTACAAGGTATTATTAAACCAGGCAATGTGATATTACCAATTAGAATAGCTTCCGTAAGTAAACAAATTAATCGAGTATCATGCAGAAACAAATAGACATGAATGAGTGTAAACACTGTCACTGAATAGGATAGACGAGGTCTACGGACCTTTTAAAACAAATAAATGCAAGAAATAATAACCTTTTATTATGATTAAAAAGCAATGGAAAGGTTAGACTAGTTATTTATCATACATAATCTTCCCTGTTATCATTACATTGTTGAAAACATTATGAAAATATAATCAAGCACGATTAACTTATCAAAATAACAATATTAATACTATGACACTACTAGGCAATTACTGTAAACATGGATATTTGATTCAAGCAATTTTTACTAATTCTATCTAGGCTATTATTCTTTTCTTTGGAATTTAGACAACCAGATACTACCACTAACCTGAGTCTATAGGATTTGCTTTAGAGTCTAGAACAAAAACTATGCACGTGGTTAGTAATGTGCATTGTTTTAATTATTCTTAGTTACATAATCGACATTTTACTTACACCAGTTACCTATTCTTCGTAGAGAAAAGACCACAAATGTTCTGCCAATCGTTCCAGACTCGCTGAATCATTGTCATATTTACAGATAGTCTCACTGACTTCCAAAGTTTTAATGCCTGTTTCCTTGATAAGTCTGAATAGTTGTCTGCTGTCATTTATTGTCGCCAGCTTTCTCATCGCTTTCGCTCTCGCTACCCATCACTACCCATCCACAATCATTGAGTAACCTCTTTTTCAGTCGGAGAGTGACAGGATGAATTTCCAGGCATTCACCAAAATCCGCTGAATTTTTTCCGATCTGTTTTTACAGCAATCTATATATCATGTTAAATCACAGGAATGAACATCGCTTTGACAATCGAACAACTAAATCACTAGCTGTTCTTGAGATATATTCATAACTTCTTCGTCGTTAAGCAAAACTCTAAGGAGTTTTCTTGCCGCGGTCTTACTGTGCACAGGAAGATGCAAACAAACGCATGCCTGTACTAGCACATGGTTGAAATCTAGATATAGGCTCCAGGAAGAATGGCAGTCTTCTGTCGAACCACTCTATGGCTGTTAGCGATATCTACTCGTGTCCATCATTGAATCGATTGTGGAGGTTACAATGTCAAACAATGCCGTCCTTTGTGCTTAAAGTTGATGCTTGCTAAGAATAAATGGTTCTCTAAGCATAGTTGCAGCAGCTGGTAGCTGTTATTTGTTCGCCGCGTACACCTAAATGTTGTCCACTTGAGTTCAAACAACCTACTTGGACGTAAAAATCTCTTGGTACCATTACTACGTCCGAACGTTTGGCTTTAATGGGAGAATAGGGAGTTTTCTATAAAATTCATATTTTGGTTTATCCAAACTGCAGTCAGGCAGAGATGACAACGAGGCAACGGTGTGTCCCTATCTTTCCATCTTCGTACTTCCCCACTTAGTCGGATATCCCACTAACGATTATTTATAGTAATCCCAGTCTAGGAGAGCTTGTTTCACTTTTGGACTTAGTGCTATCCCTACAGCGATGAGGCCATTAGAGGTGGTAATGATTACAATTGGATCCTGTATATATGTTTTCGAGACCAAGCATACACCGAAGACACGAGATTCTACAGTTTAACTAAGGAAACTCGTTGGCCAATTCGACGTAAGTTCTGAATATTGAGAGCTTTAACATCTAGTTTAGAGTGTAGTTTCAGGAGATCAGAAATAAAATTTCGTAGATTTGAATATTCAGCACCAGTGATGCATGGGAATAAAACAATAGGAGAAGGGTTGGTAGTGGGAGCAGAAGAAACACCAAGAAGTGGTGAGGGAATTCGATCATGGACAAGAGGATCGCTAGTGCTTTCGGAGGTACGAGTCGGTTGTCACTTCCCGGCTGTCCACACTGTAGAAGGATATTTCTACTTGAAGGACCAGAGAAGGAAAGTGAGTTTGGAGTGGTTTTAGTGACCTGAGAGATTGACCACAGAGCCTAGAAGAGAACTGCTTGAGGCCGATTTTACACTATTTTGTGAGAAGTTTGCAATGTGTTAGCATCTTGCTTCAAAATGCCATTTATCACCGGAGACTGATATACATGGGTTAAGATGATATATGACGTTTTAAGGGCCGGTTATTTTTCACTGTGAGAAGGAAAAAGATTATGATTGCCTGATAATAATACCTTACTGCCGTCATACTTCTGTACAACCATTAGTTCGACTATGCCCTCAGACTACGAATTTTCTGCTTTTAGTCTTACTTCTCCCCAATCGACCAGCCTGGCATGATAGGACGTAAAGGAACAATTGTTTCAGCCAATATAGCTCAACCGGATTATCACGATGGACAAGCGCGACTAACAAGTCAAGATGGAAACTACCTAATGGTCCGAAGAACTTATACCTACTGCGAGACACGAAGAGACTGGAATGAATCCCACTTGGGCTCGCGAGCACTCATTTTCGAGTATTTTCAAGCAGGAAAACCCAGTTATTAAATTCTACTCACTAGTTTTTAATAGTCTACCAACTGAAACCACTTGCTCGTGATGTACACCATCTTTGAAATATACTTGAAGTTGCCACAAAAGTATTTCAGTAATTAAATAATGACTGACTAGAAAATTGATATACAGAGCCACACAAGATAGCTATGAACTAATATGAAATATAGAAAATATAGACTGTAGAAAGCAATTGGTATACGACAAGAACAGAGAAGTGATTGTTAAAATCAAGATACTCTTGTCGGTGAATGAGTGATCCAGAATACCAGTTTTCAGAGAACGTAAAATGTCATAATCACGGTTACTTTTGATCATCAATTAGAAGACGTCACTTTCTGAATAAAATTACAACTGCCTAGTTTTGTCTTACTGTCTTATTTGAAAGCTACCCAGATGTATAATTTATAGTTTTACAGCTCCTCGGAAGAGCTAAAATAATTGCCTAAAACACAACTGCATCATAAAATCTCATCAATCCATCGTCTCTTTAGCAGAAACGTTTGAGTTGGTTGATTATCGGTAACTAACTGAAGTAGGACAAGTCTAAAAACTTGTTGGGGTGGCTAATTCAAAACGCGAAATGTAGTCTGTGATGCTGTTGACTGTCGCTCCTTACATATAAAAAGTACACAACAAGAGCCTAATTGATCCATGGATGGATATGTATTAACTTGAAAATAGAGACACGGTACATTCCTAAAACATAGGATAATCCAGGCTGCACAGGAAAAACACTTGTCAACTTACTGTTCCTAGATTTGTTGTTGCATCCGATTTGTATTGTTTAAATAATGAGTAGATATGTAGTGGCATAAATAATCTTCTCAATAACTGATCACAAAGTACTTCATTTAAACCTTCTATACCCAGTGACAGTAAATCATCAATGTAATGCAAATGATCAATATGTTCTGCGACTAAATCCTTCAATTTAGTTTGGCATCTGCTAAGTAGTTACAAAAAAAATTATCGTGTGTTATTAAATGAATCCGTAGTAAAGATGGAACTGATATTGAAATATAAACATTTGCTGTTAAATGTAAACTAAATATAACCAAAACATAAACAATGTTGAAATGATGCATCAGGACGAAGATTGGAGAAATGGTATGCTATTATTTACAGATAGTGTTTACTGCATACATTTAGTTTCCTTCATTACCCTGAAGCCAGCAGTAACAAAGGAATGAGCAGATAAACATGAACTCATTTTAGTTCATAAAGTTCTCATCAACTGCTTAGCTAACAATCGATATTTTTAAAATTAAAATTATTGTCAAGTTTGCATATGTATAACAGTAAAAATGGATCTGCATCATCTTGACAGAGTAGGGAGATCGATAACATGAAGCTTGCAGTAAATAAATAAAATATGTATGAGAAGACTCCGGATCATCAGACATGATCACACGAGATTATATAAATATTATAATTAACTGATCATATAATATGGTTGAACACAAATTGTTAGCGATTAAGAGTTAAGTTACGAATTTGAAGCAAGTGATGCAAAACACTGACGATAAAGCCATCATGGTAAGGAAAGCTTTACAACTGTTTCCTTTTGGATACATAAGTCCAGCCTGTGGCGTTTGATGACTGTGACCTCGGCAAATTTGAGAACGAAACTCGACTGTCAATTGACTATGTTGAAGGATTTCAGCATATCAACCTGATTCCCCGTCAAAGATGTTTGGTAATACCACTGCTCAAAGCCTTCAATCCCATTGAAGTTTTTGGGATATTGTTGTGCAAGCGAAGGAAAATCGTGATCGGTTATTTGGTTAGACAGACTGGTTGATAGATATTTGATGTGACACATATTCCCTACCCTTTGCATTGGTATGAATCGCCTGTTGATTGTTGACTAACATACACACATCGTGATCAGGTTGATTTCATGTTCTTGATCTGAGTTGTGTTGATTTTTAATAGAATAATGCTGACTCGGTATCTAAGGTACAGAGGGGTATAACAAATATGTTCTTGGAATCGAACGTAGACCCTTTTTTCTGTTCCGTCAGTATAAATACTTTGGCGAGTACATGCAGATTTGTATACGCAGTCGGCAGCAACATGAAAGTTACCTACTGACCTTTGATTGCAATAAAGAAAATAGATTTATACAGTGTAATCAGTTTATCTCCAGGATAAGTTCTGGTCAGTGTCGTTTTTAATTTTCTGTTTACTATCGCTGAAAAATTGCCACCTTTGAATTCAAGCTGAATAAAAACAGGTTTGTCGTCTGCGGTAGTTTCTTTAGGCGTTTTGTCTTAACGATTCCCATATTTCTAAATAGATTTTTTTCGTACACTTATTGTTCCATGAGCCTTTCGGTACTAGATATCGTCTCCATTCTGTGAAGGTGTTTTCATAACAGCATTTTTGTAACTAGTAGGACAAAAGCTGTTAAAATTCATATAAATACCATACCGCGTATCTTTTGTACCATCCTCCCTCCGTTATATGGCAATATCAGGAAAGTGGAATTTATCATTCTCGTCCTGCTCCATGGTAAATTGAATATTTTTATGAGTGTCGTTGAAAAGGCTAAGCAAGTATTTTGCTTCTTGTTGATCATTACATATAATAAAAGTATCATCTACACAGCTTGCATAATACGCCATTTTACCAATAGCTCCTTTACAATTGGTATTTCTAAGTTTAGCCATGAATATATCTACTAGGACCGGACCAAGTCGACTTCCGATTGATACACTATCCGTTCGACTGCATCGGATGTTATCAAGATGAAACTGAACAACTTTCGGGCAAACGATTGGTAATTGTTTGAATCCTTGCACTGGTAGTGGAGATCAGATCTCTCGGAAATTAGGTCTATGGTTACAAGAAGCGGTATTTTGGTAGACAAAGAGGTTACACTAAAAAGCCATCAATTCATCTCCAATGTTTGTGACTGAAACTGGTCAGCAACAGTGCATGAGGGGTTAAGCGAGTCAGTGAGCATCCTTGTGGTGAGGTAACTTGACCATTGACAAGAGAGACCAAACATGAATGTCGTATTTATGAATCTTCGAAATGGTAAACAGGATCTACGAAACCTCAGACTATTTTAAGTAGAGTTATTAATCATTTTCTTCTCCATTAACTACTTTAGTACATTCGTGATTAGTATTTCTCATAAGTCAGTTATAACTTTGTTGTATTTAATAGCCTTAAATCTCAAATCGTCATTTAGAAAAGACCTGATCCCAGTAATGGAAACAAATGTTTTTTCATACAACACTGGAGACCTTATTTGGGTCGTAAAACTAGAAAAAGGCGCTATGACAGTGTCTGTCACTGTTAAAAGTATCAGAAGTAAATTGCCTGACGCCGGCTCTCTAATTAAACAATGCAAGCATGTTGCGGATGCGATCCTATCCGATACAGAAGGCTCGACTGGCTTTCGGCAACTTACGTCATTTAAGGTGTAGGCCAGATAACCGTTTGCTAACCAAAGGACGAGTCTACCGCGCAGCAGTTTGCTCCGTAATACTTTATAGCTGCGAAACGTGGCCAGTCAGAGTAGAAGATATTCGTAGGTTACTGGTTTTCGACCATAGGTGTCTCCTAATCATTGCTCATGTATCTTAGGTAATCGTGTGAAGAACTCATACTAGGTAAGGATGGCAGATTCATTTACGAAGTACGGAAACTTCAGATAGGTGTTACGAATGAGTAATCAACAACTGTATCGTCGAGCGATGTTTTATGGTGTAGTAGTAGATCTGAAGAAAGTTAGGGATGGCCAAACCGAAACATGGCACAAATTCATGAAGTCACTGACAAGTAAAGCCATGTAAGTAGGTGTCGACTAACAAGATAGGGTCCGTGAGATGATAGTGATCGATTCCTCTGCGGTATACATCTTGAATGATATGTTCAATCTAGTCTTTTCGATTACTGCTAATTCCCTTACTACCTCTACTACTATAGGATTTGAATTGACAATTGTCTCTGTACTAATGTGGTTTGGCAACTCGAACTGATGTACGTACGTACGAAGTTCTACGTTGTAACTGACTGATGTAAACTCTACCGTGTTATTCAGAAGATCACCATTTGAAGAGTTATGACGTCTCATGATGAAAACCGAGTTCATTCCGAAGTCACGAGACCGATGCCCCTTCTCACAGCCAGTACCCTTCCACGGTGTGAGCAGCCGGGAATTAACATCTGCCCTCATACCCGTAACAACATACGACACCATAATTGTCACAATCAAATCAAATCCCAACAGTCTAAGTTAATTATAAATCGGAGAGTAGAGATAGCAATAACGTTTTCATCCTCAATAATATATAAGTAACATTAAACAACGAACAGAATGAGATACAATACCGTAGTATAATGTATTTTGTGTGAATTGTTTACAAAAAAAATCAGAAAGTGGTACTGAATTCAAATTTTCAGTCGGCTTTTCTTAATAAATTTAAAACTAATAAACAGTTCATTTTAATCACTGTACTACATCTCAGAAACCAAACATAAACTCGTGTTGAAAACGAATGGCACTACGATACCGCTAGAACTAAGGTAGATGAAATCGGGTTAAGGATTTAGTGATTGCAATCTCCAAAACAAAACTACAAACAGCTAGTAAATTTTTTAACTCGATCGATTTCGATCGTTATTTTAAAAAAATTAGAATCATTCCCATGTCGAAATCAAATAATTTTTGAATATGAATAAAATTGATTTATCTAAATATGAAAGCACGACTGAAAGTAAAACACATCCAGATGAAGATTTTTAAAAAAAAACTATTAAGTATATATAAGATTTTCATTTTAATTTCCAAGATACTATAATTAATAGACATAAGATTATCATATGCAATAGTTACAGTCAAATAAGAAATGAAACTGGGAATCCATAACCATAGGTTTTCATTACTTTATTTAACAATTTACATTGTCTCATATATAACTCATAGCTAATAATTGAACTTCTCTCTTGATGGCGCCGGTTCATGCAGTCATTGAAAGTTTAACTAAGCCATGTAAGTAGGTGTAGACTACCTGGTTGAGGTCCGCCTGATAATTGCAATCAGTAGAACCTACGAATAACATGGCTCGAAATCGTTTGCAATCGCGCAAGTGCATTCATTCTTTGTCCTACCCCAGGTTCTAAGTTTTCTTTCTTTCTTCACTGACCTAAATTTTCTTGAATCTCGTGTTCAATCCTTAATCTTGTGACTTACTATCAATACTATTATTACCTCTACTACTCTGGGATTCAGCCTGACAATTTCATCTCCTTATACTAATAGGGTAGGCCAACTTGAATTGATTCGCCTACGTACCAAGTTGTACGTTGCAACTCTATCTGTCTGCACTTTTCTCTTTCTTTTCCTTCACATATCCTTAACTCAATATTATAAATAGCAGTACGTCGTACTAGGACACCTTTACAATTGACTGATTTTTTTTAGCCAGCTTAGCGAATATGTGAAAATAAGAGTCAAGATAAGTTGAATAGTAAATGCTGTGTATGATAAGCAACCAATGAAGAAAATATCACTTACTTATGACAATCAATATCCAATATTGTATTGCCGATTGACCACACAAGATGTGAGAAATAAATTAATGAAGTCTGATGGTGAATAAACTCCAAAGCAGCTTCATCTTTAACTATTGACAGCAATAACAACAAGGAAAAAACAACATATTGGTTAAAGGATAAATGAAACCAAAACGAGAAACAATCAATTGAGTTAAATCCTACCTTTATGTACATTTAGAGTGATAGTACGTACAGCAATCCGAACCATACCTTCTGGATGAGCGAACAATTTAATAGCCTCAACATATAAATCAAACTCTCGACGAGACTAAAATATGAAGATAATGAACAGTTTTGAAATGTGTAATTAAAAAAATAAATTACCTCAATGTAGAAAAAACTGATAGTATTTATGTTAAGACGAAAGGATAATATTTTTAGAAAGGAAATATAATAAGCCATCACCTAAGGAAAGGATAGAAAAAAGTTGACATGTAATTATGTAGATCTACCTCTTCGTCCGTAAAATCAAAACGATGCGTAATAATAGAATTTGTATGATTATTTGACAAAAGGTAATCTGAAAAGAAAAAGCACTTATGAACAAGTAAATAAATGAATACTTACAGATAGCTGTTTGATTTGTTATATTTTCGAATAAAATATTTAATGTTTGTAATAACTGAACACAAATTTTCCGACTTAAATCTTGTTTCAGATACTGTAAAAAGTATTCCAAAATATTCTTCTCAAGGAAGAAGCTAAATAATAACGGTTTAAATGAATCAAAAGTTTACTCCATGACTGAACTATCATTTTGATCACCCCAGATTAGAATTTCTGCAATTAAACGAAGAGCTTCAACTAGTGTCCCATAGTTTTGTTCATTAACAACACGATTCTTTTGTAACACGGAGTGAAGATACCTATAAAAATAGAAGGTAAGTCAAATAGCGAGTTTTGATCACTTTTAATGGAATTTTACATCTTAGAAATAACTAAATTTTAAAAAACTAAATTAAAGAATGAGTAATCAACTAAGGCATTAATTCTAGTAATATTTACAAGAAATACAGCTAAATATTTTAACCTATGTGATTATTTTGTTGAAACACAAAACACTGGTATAAGGGGCTACCAAAATATATATATATATAATAGTAATAATAGTGGGAAAAGCAATTAAGTTAAGAAGAATACAACCAACAAGAATTCTTACAGTTAAAGAAAAAATAAAAGGAAGTTACAGCAAGACCGCCAATGGCTTCTATTCTGAGCCGCTTCGGTGCACCATCTCAAGGACTCTAACCAAGGAGTTGTAAAGAAACAAAAGATGCCAGTCATATACAACGAAGTGTCATACGCAGATCGCCTCCGCTTTTTTCATCTAGCCCCAGCGTTAGTAAATAACTCACGACGTGAAATTCACGGTAACGACATTCGTAGTATAATCCAAGAAAGTCGGTATCTCGGATGGCGTCACAAATCAAATTATCGTCGCTCTGCCCAAACACACGTTGCAGAACCACTGCATTACTAATGTAATGTTGTCACTGAATCCCAACAATCTTTCGGAAACAACGATGATCAAACATAGAGGGTTGCTAGAAATACTCGAACGGGTTTCACAGGCATAAAGCAAAACTGCTCTTACCGACGCGCTGTAGATCTGAACTTTTACAGACAGACTGACATCAAAAGAGCTAGACTTGTGAAAGTACTTTACACTCAGGTAATAAGCACGACACACATACTGGCACTGCCAACTGATTAAGTGCAGATTGCATAGTTAGGGAGTCATTGTACAGAGAAATAATAACACCCGCAAACTCAAGGTCAAAAAGTCTTTCTCCACCACTACCTACATATATTAAAGATGTTTATAGAACATCAAAGATGGCAAAGATAAAAAGGAGTGGTGCGATAATGTAAACTTCATTAACGTAATCGCATGAATGAAGCAACAGAGAGGAACAACAGTACGCCTAACTATGACTGTGTTTGTATACAGGACGTTCAATATGTTACAAGACGAGTCGAAGGTGGCACTTATATCAAGAAACAAAACGGTGGTTGACCTGTCAGTGTGCTACAATTTAGAACTTCATACGTACGTACATAAGTTCAAGTTGCCATACCATATTACCACATCCCTAACCATCGATCACTGTCATCTCACGAACCCCAACCTGGTAGTCTAGACCTACTGACATGGCTCAGCCCACTTTTCAGTGACTTCATGAATTTGTGCCATGTTTTGGTTTGACCAACCCTTTCTTCAAATCTACTACTACACCACAAAATATCGCTCGACGATGCAGTCTATAATTGTGCATACATAACACTTGCCCGACCACTCCGACTGATGACTTCGTCAATGGATCTGGCGTTCTTACCAAGTACTTGTTTCCTAACAACAGCATTGTTTACTCGATTGTTCCAAGATATACGAGCAATGATTTGAAGACACGGAAGGTTGAATACCAGTAACCTACAAATGTCTTCTACTTTGACTAGCCGTGTACCACATCCGTAAATTAGGACGGAGAAAACTGCTGTGCAGTAGACTCGTTCTTTGGTTAGCGAACGGATATCTCGCCTACGCCATAAATGACACAAGTTGGCGAAAGCCAATCGAACCTTCAGTAACCGTGCTGAGATTTCGTCAGTCACCAGGCCATCAGCAATGAAGACACTCCTAAGATAAGCAAAGCAGATGACACACTCCAATACTTCACCCCTAATAACAAGTTCAGGTGCCAACGCAATCCAACCCTGAAGCAGCATTTTGCATTTCGAAGGGTAGAATTGCATCCGCAACATGCATTGGTGCTTAAGGTGGTCAGAAGACTGTATTTTGTCAACGACTTCCCCAAATAGAACTCTGTCATCGGCATATTCTAAGTCAGTGAGTGAATCTCCTGGTAGCGGGTTCGCCCTTGAAAAGTCAGACGATGAGAGTGTTATCCATAAATGCATGTTGATCACAAGTTGAATAAGAATGGAGAAAATGGAGAGCACTGACAAACACAAAGTGAAGTAATCAGTTTCGATGACAATTCGTGATAAGCTCTCAGTCGAACAGTAGTGTTCGAGTAGAGAGCCTGTATAAGGTTACTATACTACTCTGATACACCTTGTAATGGCAGACATTGACACAGAACCTCACGATCAACAGAGTCAAACGACGAGTTAAGGTTTAAGAATACAACTATTGTCGGACGCCGGAATGTCTTCGTTGAATTGCGAATATCTGGTCTAAGCAGCAACGTCCAGGTCTGAAACCAGTCCGTTTTTCTCGAGTATACACTTAGTTAGCTCTAGTGATTCACCATTCAGGTTGATTGTAGACCGTGGGTAACCCAAGTGTGACTGAAGGCCAGTTGAACTAATCCCTAAAGTGTTCTGCACATCGATCCAATCACTTAGATTGAAAATGAATCATACGCACATTGTTTTCCGAAATAGTTTCACTCACAGTCGACTTCCTTGATAATTCTGAACAGTTGTTTATTGTTGCCTATTGTCTCCTCCTTTTCCATCTCTCTTGCTTTCGCTACCCATCACTGTTCGCGATCATTGCGTAGGCTTCATATCAGCCTGTGTCTAAGCTGACCACGCATCTGATCATGTTCAGAGAAAGATGGGGTCAGTTTCCGAGCATCTATGTTTGTAATAGGTGCTACAGAAATCCACTAATTCTCCTCAACCTTATGGATTACCTTACTAACAGATGTCACTGCTGTTTTCACAGTTTTTCGTATACCGTTATAAGCTACCTCGGAGTGGGAATTACTTACATAACTCCCTTACTGTTTTTCTAGTTGCTCCTGAAATATACTCTTGAACATGCTATCGTTTAGTTAAATTTTAAGATGTTTATTTACTTCGTCTATCCTACGTCGAGTAGGATGCAGACAAATGCACTGTCTCATTGAAACATGATCTGAATATAATAAACATGTGCTACAGAATTAGCGACAGTCTTCTACCTAACCACTTCATCAGTGGCTGATAACCATGTGATCTAGTTGTGATGGTGTTGAGTTGACTTTGGTGGTCGCCATGTCAAAAGGTGATTTTATTATGCTCAAAGTTAGTGTCTGTCAACAATAGACAGTTATCTGAGCATAGCTGCGGCGGACGTTCACCATTATCTGTTCTTTGAGTCGCGACACAATAAGATCCACCCAGGTGTCTCTCAGTTTCACTTAGTCTACCCACTTTAACATTGAAGTCACCAGCCTCTATTACTACGTCAGAGCGCCTAGCTTTTGGAGAAGGTTGGAAAGCTTTCTATAAAACTCATCTTTTACCTTATCCGGATTGCTGTCAGTGGGGGCGTATGCAGAGACAACGAATGGGTGACGGCGTGTGTCCCTGTCTTTCCGAGTTCTTACCGTTCCGTTTAGTCAGATAGCGCATAAGTGACCATCTACTGGGATCCACCAGTCGAAGAGAGCTAGTTCAGCCTTAGAGTGCAGTACAATGACTACACCAGAGAGGCCACAGGAAGCAGCAGTGGAGCTTCCAGGAACGCGGGACGTAAATTGAGACTGCTCTTTATCTTGACTATTAGAGGTCAAATGCATTACTCTGACCCTGTATTCGCGTTTCGGAGGAGCAGCACATATCGCTCGCGCGAGATTTTAAAGTCCTAGATAAGGAAACCTGTTGTGCAATTTGGCACAACGTCTGGACATTAAGTGCTCCATGTAATTCAGAGCGTGGTTTCAGCAGATCTGGTATAACGTATACTCGAATCATCTACATCAGCGGCGCGATGTGATAAAGGAAATTACGAAGGGTTAATCGTGGAGATAAGAGAATTGTTAGGTGTAGGAAGGATTTGATTGGTCTCGTGTGTTGTTACGGGTATGAAGGTGTATGTCCATTCCCAGGTGCCCACACTGTGGAAGGATATTTCTTGAGGAACCTGAAAAGGAAGTAAGATCAGCGTTGGTCTTAGTGGTCTGGATGCGTGATCGCAGTGCTCTTCAAATGGCCTTACCACCGGCGACGGGAACCCATGAGGTACGGTGGGGTGTGACATTTTTAGAGTCGACCATTTCTAACCCCTTTCTTTTTTGAGAGAAGACAGAATGCTGCAGATGCAGGTTGTTTAAATGAAACATCTTAATGTTGTCACACCGCTCTAGTCAGAGGCACAACTTCGTCCTCAGACATTGAGTTCCTGCTTTTGGTCTTGCCGCCCTCCATTCGACCTTCCTAGAGTGATAGAACCTACAGAAACATATGTTCCAGCCAACATAGCTCGGTTGGGTCATCACGATAGGGAATCTTAACCACCAAGTCAAGGTAGCAGCTATAGTCGGGAAGTATAGTAACGTCCTTACATTTGACGGAGGGTGAAGATTTGATCAATATGTCCTTGACCAAGATGAAAACCAACCTGCTCTACGCGAGTCACATTCTTTAAAGAGAAAGGACCGAAAGTAAGTCATTTATGTCTGATGATTGGTGGCGCTTCAATTGTTGGAGTTTTTTGCAGACTTCTACCGCGTCAGATGGATCAGTCCTCACCAACCATAGAGGATATGACAGTCCGATCTGTTTCTCGACAACAGCAGATCAGCTTGATTGTCCGTCCCTCAGAAGACTCTTTTCACTGTTCAAAACGTTGGTAGATGCCATTAACTGGATTCCCAGCAGCTTCACAGATTGTTTCACTCACACTAGACTTGTTCCCACCAGTGGCCCAAATGAGTTAGGAGAGTTTCTGTCGGTTACCAGATGAAGTAACTGCTCCTAACTGCTCCGACCACCAGGCTTCTTGATTCTTACAATAACTGTACTATTTTCAGTCAGTCAGTTGCAACGTAGAACTTCGTACGTATGTACATAAGTTCATGTTGCCATACCACATTATTAGCACAGAGACGCAAATGTCAAATCAAATCCCATAGTGATAAAGATGGTAGAGGTATTAATGTTATAATAAAGAAGACTAGGGTTTAAGATATTATTCAAAAAATATAATTCAGTGAGATAAGGTTAGAAAGACAAAGTAGAGGTGCTGACCAATCCAGAAGATTAGGATTTGAGAGAGCTCAAAGAGTGGATGCACCTGCGCCATTGCAAACGATTTTGAGCCATGTCGTTCAAGGTCTCTAACCATTGATGACTTTCGTCTCGCGGACCCCAACCAGGTAGTCTACATCTACCAACATGACTCAGTCCACTTGTCAGTGACTTCATGGATTTCTGCCATGTTTTGGTCTAGCCGCCCCTAGCTTTCTTCCAACCTACTCCTACACCACAAAACATAGCTCGTCGAGGCAGTCGGTGGTTAGGCATACGTAACACATGTCCCAGCCACCTCAACTGACGAAGTTTCACCACTTCATCGACTGATCTGCCATCCTTACCTAGTACTCGTTTCCTAACGACAGCATTGCTTACTCGGCTGTCCCACAATATACGAGCAATGCTTCTTAAACATCTATGATCGAATACTAGTAACCTACGAACATCTTCTACTCTTAACGGCCATGTTTCACAGCCATATAAGAGAACGGAACGAACTGCTGCGCAGTACACCCGCCCTTTGGTTAGCGAACGGATATCACGCCTACGCCATAAGTGACGCAGGTTGGCAAAAGCCAATCGAGCTTTCTGTATCCGAGCTGAGATTTCGTCAGTCACCAGACCGTCAGCACTGATGAGACTCCCCAGATAAGTGAAGTGATCTACACGCTCGACTACTTCACTCCCTATCACTAGTTCAGGTGCCGAAGCAACCCAGTCTTGAAGCAACATTTTGCATTTCGAGGGGGAAAACCGCATCCCGAACATGCTCGCATTGTTGCTTATGGTAGTCAGAAGACTCTGCATTTTGTCAGCGTCTTCACCGAATAGAACTATGTCATCGGCATATTCTAGATCAGTAAGCGACTTTCCTGGTAGAAGGTCGACCCCTGAAAAATCTGACGAGCTTAATGTTAACTCTAAGAGGATGTCTACGACAAAGTTGAACAAGAATGGAGAGAGTGGACAGCCCTGACGGACACCACTTGATGTAGAGAATTCAGATGACAGTTCGCCATATGCTCTCACCCGACCAGTGGTGTTCGAGTAGAGTGCTTGTATAAGGTTAATGTACTTCTTTGGTACACCTTTCAATGACAGACACTGCCATAGAACCTCACGATCCACTGAGTCGAATGCCGCCTTAAGGTCCAGGAATACGACTATTGTCGGACGTCTAAATGTGTGTCTGTGTTCCAGGACCTGTCGTAGTGTGAAGATGTGGTCTATACAACCACGTCCAGGTCGAAAACTAGCCTGGTTTTCTCGAGTCTGCTCTTCGCGAGCTCTAGTTAGACGTCTACGTATAATCGAGGCTAACAATTTAGAAACTATATTAGTTAAACTTATTCCCCTGTGATTGTCACAGGAGGATTTCTGTCCTTTCTTGTAGATTGGGACAATTAGCGACTGAGACCAGTCAGATGGGATTACGTCCATTTCCCAGATTCTACCTAGGATCTCGGTCAGTTTAACCGTTAAAACTGGACCACCATCCTTAAACATCTCAGGGGTAAGCCTATCGGGACCTGCCGCTCTACCTCTCCTTAGATTTGCTATAGCTTTCTCAACTTCATGTAAACTGGGAGGACTTAAATCGATTTGCCATTCAGGATGACTGGAGATCGTGGGCAACCGAAGAGTAGCTGAAGGCCAGTTGAACTGATCCCTAAAGTGTTCTGCCCATCGGTCCAGCCTCCTAGATTGAGAATGGATAATAAGACCATCCTTTTCCGAGATAGTCTCACTTACATTCGGGTTCCTAATACCGGTTTCTTTGATAAGGCGGAAAAGTTGTCTAGTGTTGCCTATTGCCGCTGCCTTTTCCATCGCTTTTGCTTTCGCCACCCACCACTGTTCACGGTCGTTACGTAGGCTTTTTATAAGTCTGCGCCTAAGCTGACTACACTCTTCATCATGTTCAGAGTTAGGTGGGATGCGTTTTCGAGCATCCATCAGTTCGGTGGATGCGACTGAAATCCACTGCTTCATCCTAGCCTTATGGTTTACCTTGCTAGCAGATATCACTGCTGTTTCCACAGCCTTCTTTATATCATTCCAACCTGACTCCGGATGGGAATCACTTGCATGATCGCCCAACTGTTTTTCTAGTTCCTCCTGAAATATTTTCTTAGCTTGATTATCATCAAGTAAAGCCCTAAGAGGCTTCCTTACGGTGTCTTTCCTACGTCCAGCAAGCCTCAAACAAATACGTGCTCGCACTAGGGCATGATCTGAATCTAAACATGTGCCCCAGAACGAGCGACAGTCCTCTATCGAACCCCTCCATCGGTGGCTGATGGCGATATGATCTAGTTGGGTCCAACGTTGAGACGACTTCGGGGGTCGCCAGGTCAAAAGGTGTTTTTCCTTATGCTTAAAATTAGTGTTTGCTAGAAATAGTTGGTTATCTGAGCACAGTTGCAACAGACGGTCGCCATTGTCTGTTCTTTGAGCCGCGAGACCGTAACATCCACCTAGGTGTCTTTCATTTTCACTTAGTCTACCTACTTGTGCGTTGAAGTCACCAGCCATTATAACTATATCAGAGCGCTTAACTTTTTGGAGGAGGTCCGAAAGCTTTCTGTAACTGTACTATTTTACGGCATAATGTAGTTGAAGCCAATGCCCATCTATACTTTTCAGTGGGTTGATAGCTAACTTTTAACTTTATTTGTTTTGAGTTACAGTTTTTATGACGGCCAATGATATTATCCGGTTGTCTAAACTGTTATGTCTTAATGGTTAGTATTACATTAGCCTGAAAAATACCCAACTAAATCCTGTTCTCTATAACCGAACCGAACTAATACAGAGAACCCTGGCACCTAAGCTGATAGTTTCTATAGAATATCGAACTACTAGTTTGTTGTTGAAAAATGGTAAGACCTGCTTTTTGACCACTTTGAGATTTATCTCAATGTAGTTCAGCAACATGGTTCGTACATCTACCTTGGACCAGTTCTGAAACTCGATGGACTCTCAACTACTTTCAAAATGATGCAAGCGGGTCATCCTTTATTCGATTTTCAAAAAAGGATGAGAAATAGACTGAACTAACTTAAACTGTTAGTTCAAGACTGTCAGCTCGAAACATATTTATGGTAGAATGATCGATATGTGAAAATGAGACGACTGATTGAAAAATATTTGACACAGTATTTCAGAAAATAACAAAAAGGTTTTCCATTGTACCTGAATAGTTTAGATTTCTGTTTTCTTCCTGGCCTTGAAGATAAATTCTACATAATTCCATGTTATTTATTTATAACACAAGAGAAACTTGATGCAACAGAACACTAAGAGATGAGTTGAGTAAAGCGAATTAAAAGTGAAAAAACGGCTGAAGGCCGAGCAATAAACATAAACGAGACTAGGTGCTTAACACAGCTATAAAATAAGCTCAACCAAGATTAACTTCATTCAGTGAAAATACGTCTTACTGTTTATAACTAACACAACAAATATCACAGCAACACTTAGACTTTTAATCTGGGGAATATATAAGACGCCATATAGGTACTAGTGAACTAACAGGATGTCGCTAGTTATGTCGAACATTACTCTGGCCTTTGTATCAAGAGTAAAGGGTATTTCAGCTGTCCATTTCAAATTACGAAGAAAAATTGTGGAACTACACTACACTATATTGCTGAAATTGAAAAACAAAGAAGATAACTTTTAAGTGCACAAGCTGACTTTTGTCGGCCAGGCTACACTTCCATCAATATCCATAGTGTTAAGATAAAAAATTTTGGTTAAAATCAAAACCTGAATGTTGGTTACACATATCTTAATGGTTTCTCAATACAAGCATATCCTTAGGTCGTTTAGCGGACAAAAATTCTTGAATAAATCATTTCCAACAGTCTCTATAATATTGTCGACAAAAATTCCGACTAGCCAAGGAAATTACAATGACCTAGGAATAAAGAAATGAAAATCCAGACATTTAGAAATTTATACGGCACATGATTCTACAGCACCAATGACAGGCCTTTTAAACTTTAGTACATGTTAATTTATTTTTTGAGTTTTCGAGTTACTGTAAGGTATGTTATATTTTTGTTCGACCGATCGTAGCAATCACTATCATGCCAGTTTACTTGATACTATCACGGAACAAAGCAATTTTAACGACAAAGGTCTCTTTAAAAATCTAGACTAAAAAGCCAATAATACTACTACTCTACTAGGTGAAAATAAAGATCACTGGCACTCAAAACATAAGAGGACAAGAGAAAAGACTGAGATAATCTGCTAATTCGAGAGCGAGAAATAAATCACACAGAACCTTTGAAAGAAAAACAAATTTCCAAATACTAATCTGAGAATAACGTATTGTGCATATATCAAATAAAATTATTCGGATGAGCAAAAATTGAAAAGGTCAAGTTTATAAACCAATGGAAAACATTCCGAAATTATTAGCAACTGGAACTTACTTTAAATTCTCAAGAGAATGGACCTTCTTAGGTTTCGATAGCCCACCTTTCCCTCGTCCGAACATCCTTCAGATTGAAGCGCACATTTTTACAGTATGCGCTGCTCAATATCCAAACTGCTAATGACGTGTTAATATAGTTTGATTCGATTTATGCTTGATATAAAAGGGCACTCTCTTGAAAGATTACAAGTAGCTTGATCGGATTTTATGCCTAAAAGTGTTCTTGTCAGTCGAGAACGTGACTAGAGATTCCAACATCCAATTTCTTTTTGATGAGTTAGCATAACTGGTTAATTCTTTGTTCTCGATCCTATTTCGGTACGGTTCCAGGCATTTTGGAGTGCTCAGTAGATGGTAGTCTAGACACTAGGCTGCACTATTTGTTTTCAGTTGGTAGCTATTTATAAATTTGTATGTCCCGTTATTTCAATCAGTACGTTTGTTTCAGGGAAGTAGGGTTTCTGGACTCCAGCAACTATCCCGTCACCAGTCCAGATATCAGTCCATGAACCAGTATGAGAAGAAAATTCTAATGCTGATCAGAAGATTTCAGAACTCAGTAGATAAATGGACAAATAAGTTAATAAAGTGATAAGGAAGATTGTATGAGGACCAACGGAAAAGCAAGCTTGATGAAACAAACATAATTAGCGAGATGGGTTAAGTTAGTGATCTGGGGCACGGTTGATTTACGAAGGAGATGATGATCCGCACGTGAATAACTGTCTATCAAGTTTCTTCCAGAAGCTATCCAATGAAGAAGCTATGGACACCTCGCCTGGGAAAGCATTCAAAGTTGCAAAAACTCTTATTGAGAAATAGTGTGGACGAACCTCCGTGTTCGCTCTTTGATGCGTAGTTTTTCGAGAATTGCCTTGAGGAGCGTCGTGGTGATGCTTAGGTAAGGTGCTCATGTTATGATGATTTGGCGTGCTTCATACGTTGTACACCATTATCAGATCATCATGGATTCTTCTGTAACTCTGACAGAGTAATACATATTGCTAGAACCTATATTCCTTAGGCTTCAAACCTATCATCTAATCAGTCGCTTGTCTCTACACTCGATCCAGGATAGTTATGTTTGTCTTAAGGAGAGTGGGTGAGTCGATGTTGTGAACCTCAAGGTGGAGGTACGAGTTTTTGTTACAAACAGTGTTAATGATAATCCCTAGGTGCTTGCCCCAAGTCATCTTCGCATAACGTAAAGAGCTGCGTTACCTCGGCTGATTCTCATATGTAGTTTGAATTATTGTCAGGGCCCTTAATGACTAGTAAACCAAGATCGAGCTCTGAGGTGACATCAGGATGCGAAATTCTAAGGTCTAAGTTGAATGTTTCGCGTGGGGCTGAATATACAAAATGTGAAATTTCGACTGCTTTGTTTTTAATCTCTTTAAGACTTCATATTCCTCAACCGATTTTGGATGCATTTGAGGCTCCGTTGAATCCTCTTCAGTGCCTATAGACCACTACATCATTTCGTCATCTGCTCAGATCAATGTAACTGATTTAATTTCATCTAACGGGTCATTAATTAGTATCCGGAAAAGAATAATTACCTATGAAAGTAATGATGTACAAACTCGCCAGATATCGTGCATTCTATTCACATATTATCAACATAGGCTCTAAGAAGTTCAGTGCAGCCCGTCTTCACAACTTTCGCAGTCGCGAATACATGGGGTACCCCGCCGAAAGAATTCGCGAAGTCAGTAAATATTTAGAGAACCGGTATCTTCGGGCGTAGCAGCTTGTCCAACTAACCCAAACAAGGAGAATATTGCGAAGTGTGGAATTGCGTGGAACCAATGAAATGCTTCGGAAACAGATTGGACAACTAGGGCAAACATCAGTAGAGCTGCTACTGTACTCCGACCATGAAGAGGAAAATGCCTCATGCGCGCGGATTTGCACTGACGCTGTCCAAACAAGTACAAAAGGCACCAACGGGATGGAAATCTCATGGACCCAGGATCATCAAAGCATCCGTCGAAACAAAAAAATAGTGCATTATAACGAACATGCTATGCACCTATCGACGAACACAATGGAGACGTTAAAGGTCAAATCTATTAGAGGCTACAGTCAATCGTTGAGAGGTGCTCATCCAGTAATCTGATCATTCTTATGTGAGAACCAAATGCCAAGCTTGGAATAGACATTAGTGGATATGAAGACATCATAGAACAAAAACGGTGAGAGATTTGCAAACCTATGTGCCTTCGACAAACTGGTCATCGGCGGCACAGTGTTCCCACACAAACGCATACTAAAAGTTACATGAATCTCACTGGATCACACTACTCGGGACCTAATCAACGAAACGTTCAGAAGGACGATAGAGGACATGAGAACCAAGAGAGGAGCTAATATAGCCTCAGATCACTACTCGCTGGTCGCCAAAATAAAACTGACTCAAGAAACAATAGACAACGTGGCAGACAACATCACGGAAGTTATATACCGTGTTTCTTCGAGATACTGAAAAGCTCAACTAATTTATCACAGCCCTTAGCAATAGGTTCCAAGTCTTGCACGATCTACCCAATGGAAAGGAAACTGCCATGGGGAACAACTGGAAATGGATCAAGGAGGCAACCACTTCAAAATATCACGAGGTTCTTTGCCACAAGAGGCACCATCATAAAGAATGGATCTCTGTTTTTACTCTTGATAAAATGCAAGGAAGGAGTGTTGGGGTTTTTCAGTGGTTTCTGAATTGGGAAGAACAGTGGAAGATGTTAGATACGCGCCTTCCCAGTTCCAAGACAACAAAATAGCAATTTATCTGGGTAAGAAACGGTTCTATTAGTAATTATATAACAGAAATAATTATCTAAACAATTTTATACTGTTCGTTAACACAATTTAATACAATGTATTTCCAATTCTGGAAGAATGCTTGCGTATAAATCCAAAATTGCACCCTTCCAGTCCAGATTCAAAGTTCACCCCCCCCAGGGTGTCAAATCTGATATGGCTGATGCCACAATTAAGTATCAATTTAAATAGCATAATACAGTCAAGTAGAAAACACAGAAACTCCAATAAAGGTACAAAAAAAGAAACTATAACAAACACAAATATTAAGCTCGCTTGAAACTACCGTAAACCAAAAAGAGCTCTGGAACTTCAAACAACTCTCGACAAACAACAAAACAATGATTTTCAATACAGACATCAAGACAGTTCTACTTTATGGGAAGGAAACGTGTAATACTGCCAAAACAATTCTCCAGAAGACACAACTATTCATTAACAGTTGTCTAAGCAAAATACTTCTGATTGGTCGGCCAGAAATCATCAGCGACAACCTATTGTGGAAGAGAACAAACTTGATTCAAGCGGAGGAGGAAATCAGGAAGAAGTGCTGGTAGTGGATATGACACGTGTTGCACAAGGCACCGAACTGCGTCACAAGACAAGAACTCATTTGGAACCCTCAAGTTTAAAGGAAAAGAGGATCGCTATGGCACACACTACGCCAAGAAATGGAGACTGACATGAAAAGAATGAACAAAAAGTGGGCAGAACTTCAGAGTCGTTTGGAGAATACTGGTCGGCGGCCTATTGTCCGTTAAGGGAGACGGGCGCGAATGAGTCAATAAAATAATTTCCAAGTATTCTACACATCAGAATCTGGTAACCCACTTGCGCTACGAATGATAGTTTCAGTGAGTCTTACTTCTCAAGCCGCTCCTCATATTATTAGCTCTGCATACACTTAAAATACGATGAACTCAGTGCTGCGTCTTATTTACTTGTTTTTACCCTCTAAAGTAGGATTAAATTTTTCGAGTTGAATATAAATCTCTTTAGTTTTTATTTGAAATAGACAGGTTACTCTACTCACTGGGTCGATCGACACTGTTCAGCTGTAAACTAGTTGATTAGAACGCACTCTACTTTCCTGGGCGCAACCTTATCAACTCTTACAACTGTGTGAGTTTCACATTGCCTATTATCAAACATACTGTTCTCACTTACACGCTATTGACTTACCTTGATCCCTTAGTGTTATCTATTGCTCCACTTTTAACCGTGATACTCTTAAAATCTCCTGCTTAGCTAGTTGAGTACATCTCCCCCCACTACATTCTAAATGCTTATATCTTGCTTGAAAATCCGTACTATTTCTCGATTACTGTTAACTGTATTTCATTGATGCAAACAAACTTGATTCAAGCAGAGGAGGAAATCAGGAAGAAGTGCTGGTAGTGGATATGACACGCGTTGCACAAGGCACCGAACTGCGTCACAATGTTGATATCTATTGATGCGGCTCAGTGTATACAGATAAATATTGGTGATATAAGTGTCATTATCAACGCATCGGGAAAACGTTAGTGTTCTCAGAATCCTTTCGCAATGATGTAATCAGATTGCTTTACCACAATCTCAAGACAATGGTCCACCCAATCGCTCTTGCCGACGTGTTCCAAATCTCATGAGCTCTAAGATGGACAATAATGAATTTATTTAAATTTACGCTCGTCACTGTAGACCTTACTTTTGGACCTCTGCTAAGGTTACTGTCGTTACCAAGCGATGATAAAGGAGGAGGGTTGATAATGTTGTCTGAGACCTCAATCGTCAGAAAACCAACTGTCTAGAATAACGCTAAATAGTTAACTGTACATAAAATCTTAATGAGATGCATACTTGAAAACCGCTTTTATAATGAGACTTGGATAATTTAAGAGGAGTCAGTAGAACAGCTTTTATGTAATATATTTATTCCCAAATAAATACGTTAAAAGAGTCACGCCAGTTTACAGGCTAGATCAAATTGTCACAAATGCATTCACATTTACTGTAAAAGTTATAGCTGTTAAATTAAGTATAAAAGTCAGTTTCTGATTGCATATTTACACCATGTCACCGAGAGAAACAGTATAATACAGCCACATTATCAATAGTAGAGTACAAATAAGGAAGGTGCACAATAGGTTCTTTTGGCGATTTGCCGAGATCAATCGTGAATTTGTTGGGAAATGTCAACTGGAATGCGCTTGAAACGAGCTGTGATCCAGACAGTCATGTACCAAGGGTGCATGTTCCCTAGATGCGCCAAGGATTTGCCACCGTGAATGGGGTTCTGAAAA